TTTGCCGATCAGCCCAGTAGTTTCGGAGTTAGGAGGGGGAGCTATGAAGAGCCCCCACCCCCAGTAGGGCGCAGGTTAAAGGGGGGGGGGGGCACTGCCGACTTTTGGTCCCATTCTTTCCATGCAACGCCCATAGGGCTAGTGCTAAAATGCCAAAATCAAGGGGGGCACGGTGCCCCGGTGCCCCCCCCCCCCGTTCCGCCGCTTATGGAACTTGTGTTGTTTACGGGTGTTCTGTCCTGCTGGAGAGCGAAATCGACTTTAGGATACGTCTTCAGGATCCATGGGATGACGTCACTGTCAAGCAGACGTTCATACATCGTCCCGTTCATCCTCTAATGGGCGTTAATGAGGACGATTGGACACTTTTTGCCGCCCGAGCCGTGGGCTGTCCTGGATGGCCTGACACATTCTCAGAGTTTTGACTGGACGTGACCGGCCAGACCTCGGGGCATCCTCTAGGATCTCTCATATTTGGCTTTGATACGCGTAATTGTTCGTAGGGGGCTCCAAATTTCATCGCAACCTGCTCAGCAGTCATGCCCGATTCGGCCGCCGCGCGCGGGTATCCAATCCAATCCGGGTATCTTTGTTCGACATCTGGCTGTATTGAAGATATTGCGTGCGGCTATACAGGGTGTAACGAAATTATCCGGACATCTATTTTTTCGCCATACCTGCTCGCACAGTTTCTTTTTTAATGTTAGAAGCTGGAAAATTAGATGAATGCATACCTCTGGTATCTGCTCTCAATTCAGCAGTGACCTGACCTTGCGAAATGACTCTTGCTCTGAGTAAGAGTCGAGTCGCCGACGGGTTCATTTGATAGTTTTCGTTTAAGGCAGTGGAGAGAAGGGAATACAGTAGCTCGTTTCGTAGTAAGTCTACCTGTTGGTGGCATGGTGGTATGAGCCAGAAGCTGGTCTGTCAGCAGCTGGACATCAGCAGCAGCCAGTAGCACATCTGCCTGAGGCGTAATAAGCTGGGACTTGGTGGCAGACTCAGCCCGGCCTCGATCGCAAAGGCCGCCCTTTTCCAAGTGGTGAGGAGAGTTGTCAAGATAGCGACAAGGAAACGGCACCAATTAATCCGCAAACTGACTCGAATTCTTACCAAGGCAGAATAATAAGAGGTCCCACATCATGATTCACCGTCACCCGCCCTTTAGCTTGGTTTTATTGCCCTTCAAACTGAAAAAGACAATGAAATTGACGGGAAAACACCCAGTCCACCACCTTTGGCCTCAGGCCAGGGCGTGTTTAGTGGTTGAAGGAAGACATGAATGAGGTGGCCTGGTGGGATGGAAAGCTGTTCGAGCTACGATGTCCGTTGAACCGTCAAATCGGCCATGTGTGGGCTGCCAGCAGCTCGAACATGCCGGCCGTCGCCGGCGTCAAACATCCGGCCAAAATCCAGACCTGGAGCATGTTCAGCTGCTGTGCAATATTCAAGCTGTTCATGACGCCACAGAAAACCACTATCAGTGACGAGTATTACCGGCGCAACATCCTGGCTAGCGATTGGTTGGAGCCACTCAACCAGACGGCACAGGAGGGGTCGGTTTCTGAACGCGTACTGATGCCTGATTCAAGCCGCGCAGTCTTCATGCGGGGCGGCGCACCACCTTCAAGTCCCTAGCAGAATGAGAAGTGATGCCGAGAGGACCTATTGTTCTTCTGGGCTAACGGGCTATGGCTTGGAAATAGCTCCCATCCCAATTCCATCGATACCTTATGGACTATTGTCCAGCAGGAGATGAATGAGGGGACACCCGCCACCAGCGCCGCCCAACTGTGGGCACAGGCTAGCAAGGCGCTGCTCTACATGAAACCCACTGTGCTGGAAAACCCAGTGGCTGGAATGCTCCAGAAATTTGTACCTGCGCTTTTATGAAAGGTGGCTATATAATAATTCAAAAGAGAAAATATCAGATTGTCTTGCTTCTTAATTACAGCGCGAAGAAAGATGTCCGGATAATTTCGTTACACCCTGTATTGGCTTCCCGAAAAGCAACCACAGCACGCGTAGGAGCGCTTACTGTAAGAGGGCCAGACCTTTTTACCCACCCTGTAAACGGAACGCCGTCGCCCGTCGGAATGGGGCTTGGGTCGATATGGTTCAATTCCGGTTAGCCACTCTTTGCCGTAGCGCTCCGAAGTTGGTACGGCACCGTCACGGCGTGCTACGGCCTACGGCCAGGTCCGGCAGTGCCTCGTAGCAGTAGCGCCTGCTCTGGCTAACTGTGGGTGAAGTACGGTTGAGGTACGGCACGACTGATACGGCTTAAGTCCGGCCGTGGTGCGGGCGAGCTCCGGGATGTCGTTTCAGCTCCAGTAGGTCCCCAGACATTGCCCGTACTTCGGCCGGAGTATAAGCTCCGGAACTAGCCAGAGTAAAACCATATACGGCCCAGACCAATTTTCCTGGCTGGGAAGCTATCAAAGCAATACGGCCCCTACGACGTGACTCAGGTGACCCAACAGAACCATGGGCAATGACATTTAACCAGTCAGGCTAAACTTGCCCAAAAAACATGGTCGAAAAGGTTGTGTTGTAAGGCAGCAGCACGTACCCAGCCAGCAAATTTGGTCTGGGCCGTTAGCTGGTTTTACTCTGGTTAGCTGCGGCATTTGCTCCGGCCGAAGTTCAGGCAAGGTCTGGGGCTCTACTGAAGCTAACACATGATCCCGGAGCGCGCCCGGACCACGGCCGGACTTAAGCCGTATCAGCACTCAACCGTACGGCTGTGGCTGAAGTAGGTACCTCAACCGTACTTCAGCCACAGTATAAGCCAGAGCAGCTACGAGGCAGCCGAACCTGGGTGTTCCGCCGCTACTGGCCGTAGGGAGCCGGACTTGAGCCGTGGCAGGTAGTCGGACTTGAGCCAGCTTTGGTAGTCCGAAACCATACCAACTCGGTAGCGCTACGGCAAAGGCTGGCAGTAGCGGCAGACCACCTTTAAGGGGTGGGGGGGGGGGGGGCACTGCCGACTTTTGGTCCCATTCTTTCCATGCAACGTCCATAGGGCTAATGTTAAAATGCCAAAATCAAAGGGGGAACGGTGCCCCGGTGCCCTCCCCGTTCCGCCGCCTATGGAGGCTGGCTAACCGGAATAGAGCCATATCGACCCAAACCCCGGCTCTGACGGCGTTCCGTTTACACCGGCCCAAGTCTGGCATGCCGGAGTTGCTGGGGCAGAACGGACTTGAGCCAAACTAAATTGCTGGCTGGGCAGTACTGCTTCCGTTAGAGCGAATGAAAAAAAAGAATCGTCTGGACCTTACAACTAGGTAATTAGCAGCTCTGAATCTGGTAGCAGATTGGTGCTACCATTAGACGCGTTTACATACGGTTTGTTGCAAGCTCATATCTCCGTCTGTGATGTTGCAAAAGATGCCAATGGTGCTTAACAATTTACAAATTGATCCCCTCTAAATATTTGAAGACCACTGCATCGAAATTATCGCCAAATTAACGAGCTAGAGCCTCGTCAAATATGCTATGTAAACCGGGTTATTGCTAAAATTGCTTCGACCAGAAATAAGACGACATTTCTAAGCCGGTAATTTCGTTTTTAAATTTTCTCATAAAATAATTTTTTATCAAATCTTTTTGCGTTTTTATAGAGGACATTTTTGTGAAAAACTCTGCTGTTTTTTAATATTCGAAAACATTATACTAGATCTTGCACCACTACAGACGTTTGTAAAAAATACATTTATGGTGCATATTGTCGTTGGTTTGTCGCGGTTGTGTGTTATGTGGTGCGACTTGGGATGACGAAAGATGATTATTGGCTTTACCGATGAAAACAAACACGTCATTCTCCTGTGGATTCCGTCCCACGTTGGAATACAGGGGAATGAAAAAGCGGACAAGCTAGCCAAAGAAGGTCTTCATCTCCCATCTCGAAATCATCTCGCTCTCCCCCTTCCGGATTTTCTGTCTTCGCTCTTCCGTGCCTTCCAGAGATACCGCCAAAAATGCTGGATAGATGATCATACACCACATCTCTTCTCCATTAAACCGAAACTTTGCCATTTCTACTCTTCCCATCAAAACACAAGGATCAAAGAGAGAGTCCTAGCCAGGCTCCGGCTCGGCCACACACAACTCACCCACAACTACATCCTGGACAGAGCACCTCCACCCATATGCCACCACTGCCGCGACCACCCACGCTACACCATCTCACACTTCCTCCTCCACTGCCCACACCTACACCAACACCGCAGACATATAGTACAATACATTAACACACATGGACTCTCTCTCGACCTTCCGACTCTCCTGGGCGACACTCATCCGGATATCCACGACCTTCTGTTCGTCTTTCTCGCCGACGCTCGGATCATCAAGAGCCTTTAGCGTGTTAGGGCCGCGGCTGCCGCCCCTAAAACGCTAATCAGAGCCCTCGTCTCCCGGCTCACCCCCAAACTCACTCATTAATTAATCGCGGTTACAGGGCTTTTTCCCTCGCGCCGTTTTGGCTTAGGTGCGAGGTTTTTGCCCTTTGCGTTAGGCGTCGGGTTTTTTATTATTTAGGACTTTTTCTCCCGACCATTACACCCCACAACAAGGCCCCGCCGGGGGGCTGGAGCCTAGAAGGTCTTATACCTTCTGTCAGTGCGATGAAAGCTTCCCGGCTCCATTACACTGACACCAGCTCACAAGTGTTCATGTCTATCATGTATTGTTAATAAAAGTCATTCCCACTGTTGTGTTTGCGACTCCAGACATCTCGGCTCTTTGGCTGTACACGTAAGTACCTCCCTTAGCTTTGGTTCCACATTAAGATAGGATCCCACGTTGTTTTTGCTACCGGGTTCACATAAACCGGTTTAACGTAACACTTGCTGCCCGGCGAAAATTGCCGGAGTAACTGCCCCCTGCTCGGGAATGGCACTAGGCCGACCGAGCAAAAAAAAAAAAAAAAAAAAAAAAAAAAAAAAGGATGACGAATGGTTGTGTTGTGGGAGATACTTTTGGATTAGTGTCATCATTTGGGTTAAATTATTCGTGAGAAGTAAAAATGACGATATTGCGGACATTCTAATCCAAGAATAGACGGATTGTTACAAAGTTAGAGCCGCTGAGACTGCGACAAACAAGAACCAAAGTTCCTTGATCCCGCCCATCGAGATTGCTCCGGTCACGGTCGATAAGGACGTTCATAAAGTTGGCTTCAAATTCGGATTCGGATTCCAGCACAACATTCGTGGAAAAAATGACAAAAACGGACCCCTCAGAATCGATTTAAATTAACAGGATAGATAGAGCAGGACATGCTTATTATGAAAATAAATCATTTAGGCTTGGCACCCCCTAAGAACTGAGAAATCTTAGGTCAAAGTTCAAGGTCATTCTCAGCGGACCCTTTGGATTCTCGTAAAAATTTGCACACCTATAGTCCGCAACAAGCTGATTTCAAAAATATCATATCTTACTTTGGCAAGCAGCACGAACTGATATATAATAGGTCAAAGGTCAGAATCAAGGTCACGTTTGTGTAATACAGGAAGTGGAAGTGACCACGTGGTCAGGTGAGAAAAGAAGGACCCCTTAGATTTCTATATATTTTTGCTCAATGATGTAACCTGTGTCAAAAATTCTACTGCTAATTTTTCTCGTTTTGGCAAGGTCAAATTACGGAGAAATGACGGGTCAAATGTCAAGGTCATTTTGAGCGGACCCTTTTGATACACATATAACTTTTTATTCCAATACAGTTTTTGATGCTGATTATTATTCTGTGCATTATTAGGCTTGGCAAGTCTCAAATTATTTTCAAATAATTAAACAATTTAACATATAATTTGCCTATCCCAACATGGCTACCGTGCGAGCACGTATCAAAACCTTGATAAAAATAACAAATCGAAAATCTGAGGAACGCGATTTGACATTGGACGTGCCCCGTGCAAGTGCACTGGCCTTAGGCGGTTAGGCGTGCTGAAGAACTTGATTTGGTAGGTATAGTGTGCTTTGGTGTGGGTTATTGTAATTCTAATCTATTGCACGTTGCCTGATTTGCGACACAACTTAGTTGTAAGTAGTGTCAGTGTCGCAAGTTGACCATACCTTGGGGAGGAGGTCACAGGTCATTCGGGTCATTGTCTCGAAATTTACGTGGTACGTGTAAAATTGTTTAAACTTGAGATCCTGAAAATTTTATTGCAATCTGTTGCTGCTATTGCAAGTTATAGAGCTTGAACTCACAGGTCGTCTATGAGGCCTCCATCCATGCCAGCGAGAGTGTTGAAAATGGTGCATAATATGTTATTTCATTGGGTTATTCAGGGATTGGAAGTAGCCTAACACCATTCCAGCAACTACTGGCGAATCCAGAGAGGCGGTCTTGGATGTTATAAGGGTCATCCCCCCAAAATTCTCCCGATTCCAAAAACGTGTCCCAGATGACACCCATGACCTCCAATGAGCTCTGTGATGACCCCAAGTTGACCTCTGTTACCTGATGTGTCCCAGATGACCTCAGTGACCTCCAATTGAGCTCTCTGATGACTCCAATCTGACCTCTGTGACCTTAGGTTCCCAGATGACCTCCAATTGAGCTCTCTGATAACCCCAAGTTGACCTCTGTGACCTGACATCTCCCATATGACCTCTGTAACCTCTACGTGACCTCTATGATGACCCCAAGTTGACCTCTGTGAGCTGATGTGTCCCAGATGACCCCCATGATCTCCAACAGAGCTCTGTGATGACCCCAAGTTGACCTCCATTACCTGATGTGTCCCAGATGACCTCAGTGGCCTCCAATTGAGCTCTCTGATGACTCCAATCTGACCTCTGTGACCTTAGGTGTCCCAGATGACCTCCAACTGAGCTCTCTGATAACCCCAAGTTGACCTCTGTGACCTGACATGTCCCATATGACCTCCACGACCTCTAAGTGACCTCTCTGATGACCCCAAGCTGACCTCTGTGACCTGACGTGTCCAAGATGACCTCCATGACCTTCAATTGAGCTCTGTGATGACCCCAAGCTGATCTTTTTGACCTGACGTGTCCCAGATGACCTCCGTGACCTCCAGTTTAGCTCTGATAACTCCAAGCTGACCTCTGTGACCTGACGTGTCCCATATGACCTCTGTGACCTCTAAGTGACTTCTCTGATGACCCCAAGCTGACCTCTGTGACCTGACGGGTCCCAGATGACCCCCATGACCTTCAATCGAGCTCTGTGATGACCCAAGTTGACCTCTGTGTTTTGACCTGTCCGAGATGACCTCCGTAACCTCCAATTGAGCTCTTTGATGATCCTAAGCTGACCTCTGTGAACTGACGTGTCCCAGATGACCCTCATTTGACCTCTCTGATGACTCCAAGCTGATCTCTGTGACCTGAGATGTGCTAGATGACCTCCAGTATATCTCTCTGATAACCCCAAGTTGACCTCTGTGACCTGACATGTCCCATATGACCTCTGTGACCTCTAAGTGACCTCTCTCATGACCCCAAGCTGACCTGTGTGACCTGACGTGTCCCAGATGACCTCCGTGACCTCCAATTGAGCTCTGATGACTCCAAGCTGACCTCTGTGACCTGATATGTCCCAGATGACCTCCAATTGAGCTCTCTAATGACCCCAAGATGACCTCTGTAACCTGACGTGTCCCATATGACCTCTGCGACCTCTAAGTGACCTCTCTGATGGCCCCAAGCTGACCTCTGTGACCTGACGTGTCCAAGATGACCCCCATGACCTTCAATCGAGCTCTGTGACGACCCAAGTTGACCTCTGTGACTTGACGTGTCCGAGATGACCTCCTTAACCTCCAATTGAGCTCTTTGATGATCCTAAGCTGACCTCTGTGAACTGACGTGTCCCAGATGACCCTCAATTGAGCTCTGTGATGACCCCAAGTTGACCTCTGTGACTTGACGTGTCCCATATGACCTCTGTGACCTCAAGTGACCTCTCTGATGACTCCAAGCTGATCTCTGTGACCTGACATGTGCCAGATGACCTCCAATTGAGCTCTCTGATAACCCCAAGTTGACCTCTGTGACCTGACATGTCCCATATGACCTCTGTGACCTCTAAGTGACCTCTCTCATGGCCCCAAGCTGACCTGTGTGACCTGACGTGTCCCAGATGACCTCCGTGACCTCCAATTGAGCTCTGATGACTCTAGGCTGACCTCTGTGACCTGATATGTCTCAGATGACCTCCAATTGAGCTCACTGATGACCCCAAGTTGACCTCTGTGACCTGACGTGTCCCATATGACCTCTGCGACCTCTACGTGACCTCTCTGATGACCCCAAGCTGACCTCTGTGACCTGACGTGTCCAAGCTGACCCCCATGACCTTCAATCGAGCTCTATGATGACCCAAGTTGACCTCTGTGACTTGACTTGTCCGAGATGACCTCCGTAACCTCCAATTGAGCTCTTTGATGATCCTAAGCTGACCTCTGTGACCTGACATGTCCCAGATGACCTCCAATTGAGCTCTCTGATGACCCCAAGTTGACCTATGTGACCTGACATGTCCCACATGACCTCTGTGACCTCTAAGTGACCTCTCTCATGACCCCAAGCTGACCTGTGTGACCTGACGTGTCCCAGATGACCTCCGGGACCTCCAATTGAGCTCTGATGACTCCAAGCTGACCTCTGTGACCTGATATGTCCCAGATGTCCTCCAATTGAGCTCACTGATGACCCCAAGTTGACCTCTGTGACCTGACGTGTCCCGTATGACCTCTGCGACCTCTAAGTGACCTCTCTGATGACCCCAAGCTGACCCCTGTGACCTGACGTGTCCAAGATGACCCCCATGATCTCCAACAGAACTCTGTGATGACCCCAAGTTGACCTCTGTGACCTGACGTGTCCCAGATGACCTCCGTGACCTTTAATTGAGCTCTGATGACTCCAAGCTTACCTCTGTGACCTGACATGTCCCATATGACCTCTGTGACCTCAAGTGACCTCTCTGATGACTCCAAGCTGATCTCTGTGACCTGACATGTCCCAGATGACCTCCAATTGAGCTCTCTGATAGCCCCAAGTTGACCTCTGTGACCTGACATGTCCCATATGACCTCTGTGACCTCTAAGTGACCTCTCTCATGGCCCCAAGCTGACCTCTGTGACCTGACGTGTCCCAGATGACCTCCGTGACCTCCAATTGAGCTCTGATGACTCCAAGCTGACGTCTGTGACCTGATATGTCCCAGATGACCTCTAATTGAGCTCACTGATGACCCCAAGTTGATCTCTGTGACTTGACTTGTCCGAGATGACCTCCGTAACCTCCAATTGAGCTCTCTGATGACCCCAAGCTGACCTCTGTGGCCTGACGTGTCCAAGAAGACCCCCATGACCTTCAATCGAGCTCTGTGATGACCCAAGTTGGCCTTTGTGACTTGACCTGTCCCAGATGACTTCCGTAACCTCCAATTGAGCTCTTTGATGATCCCAAGCTGACCTCTGTGACCTGACGTGTCCCAGAAGACCCCCAATTGAGCTCTGTGATGACCATAAGTTGACCTCTGTGACCTGACGTGCCCCCAAGTTGCCCTTTGTGACATCACAAGTGACAAGTTGACCTGACATGTCCCAGATGAACTCCAATTGAGCTCTCTGCTAACCCCAAGTTGACCTCTGTGACCTGACGTGTCCCAGATGACCCTTAATTGAGCTCTATGATGACCCTAAGTTGACCTCTGTGACCTGACGTGCCCCCAAGTTGCCCTTTGTGACCGACGTGTCTCAGATTGCCTCCGTGTCTCCAATTGAGTTTTGTGATGACCCCAAGTTGACCTCTGTGACTTGGCGTGTCCCATATGACCTCTGTGACCTCTAAGTGACCTCTCTGATGACTCCAAGTTTACCTTTGTGACCTGACGTGTCCCAGATGACCCCCATGTCTCTCTCTCTCTCTCTCTCTCTCTCTCTCTCTCTCTCTCTCTCTCTCTTTCTCTTCACGTGCCGGTGTCGCGGATCCTATAGGCAAATTTTGTACATACCAGTGTTGATCCCCAGTCTCTGACCGGACATGTATTTTTCCTTCCCGCAGGATGCCGGCGGCGGCGACGACAGTGCGCCGGCGCACATCTCTATGGAGGTGGACACGGCGACCCGTGGGCGACCGCCGCTGCCGCGGTTTGCTACAGGTGGCCATGGCCACTAATCTGTTGGAGGAGGCGCCCCCGGCACAGGTTCCAACCGCCGGAGACGCGGCAGAGACCGGGCAGTGGGCTGGCTTCCAGTCGCAATACGACGCGGTCGTGACAGCGTCTCAGTGCACAGGAGCCGCGGCTGTGGACGATTGTTGAGAGACGGCGCGGGGCACCGATAAAAGCTTGTCTGCTGGAGGTCAAATCCTGTCTGCTGGTGGTATATAATGCCGCGTAGCCCCGTGTCCGTGATGATCTTCTAAGGCCGAGCTAGCTACACTAAGCGTGACCGTCCAGGAAACTAGAAAGCACCCACGTCTACTGCGTGTTCGTGCTCACTGGATTCCCTTGATACCGGCTTCTACGATTATCCATATTTTCCTTGAGCTACCGTATGCCCACGCAAGCGTGATAACGAGCGAGTACCATGCCGATAATACGATATGTATGAACAAGAATATCTTGTGATTGAAATTGCACAGCCATGCACTACCGAAGTTCATCGCTGAAATAGCATCTAGACCTGTGTAATTTCTTACTGTTAGCTCGACAGTAGTTTCGGTAGCAGACAGTATGTAGACTACTTGTGTCTTGTAGACAGTAGAGCTCGTCTTGACGGCGAAATGTCATTGTCCAATTTTTCACTGTCCGGCCACCGCGGGATGGCATCACCACTGTATGTCACGCCGTGTACATTATGAGCTGACCTTTCCGTGACCTTTCACTGGTAGCCCGCTACATAGCCATGAGGGGTCGGTGTGTCTGTCGTTGGGCGTCCCGACCGGTCCGCCGGTCTCCGGCTGTCTGGGTGACGAACGGCGTCTGTGGCGACCCCGCTCGGGACGCACCAGCCGCTGGCTCTCCAGCAGACGGCACACGACCTGGGTGTTACCCGTTGCCATTATCCATTATCCATTAGCAATCCACATGTGCCTATGTCTGTTTTCGTTGTGAATAAATGTTTGCCTTGACAAGCGAGTTGAAACATCTTTCAATCGCCCAGTGTCATTCGATGCAATGCCCGATCACATGCCGTCGAAAAGGCTATCTCACTCCACGCTGGGGCTCCTAGATTTTCGCGCCTGATGGGGGAGGGGCTGAACCGTGAACCCCCCAGTGAAGGGGCTGAACAGCCCCCCATCCCCTCGATTCCAACTCAGCTCCTTGACTAGATACGTGTTGGTAGTATTAGAACGAGTATTAGAACTCCACCTGAGACGAGGCCACTTACCTGGTGCCCTCACCCTGCTGACCTTGAAAGACACGAGCCTAAACTTTTAGTGTAGCACAGATGCATGCTAAGGCGTGCCAAAGAACGGCGGCGCTACCGTCTGATCGCTTTCAAGATGGTCTCACTCTATTTCTCGTCAAAAACTGTAGCTTGATCACCAGGGTTATATATTAACTTTGAAACTGAACACGCCCAGCGCTGGCACACGCGCGGAGCGGCTTCACATGCGTATACTCTCGGTCATCACATGTGGGCATTACACGAGGACCGGCCGAACAGAACTTGGTGCCGCTAGCGGCCTGGTAGTGCACGGTCAGGCACGGCTCGAAGCCGACGCCACTGACGACGGCGAAGCGCTCCATGTCCTTGACTAGCTGTGCGGGACCGATGCGGTCCACGAAGCGGAAAGGTCCGCCGGTGAGTGGCGGGAAGCCGATACCCAACACGCTGGCTCCGAGGTCGCCACGTCGAGACCTGTCAAAATGCGGTGCACTTAGGCCTACAACTGAGGCAACCACAATCACGAGTCAGGAGTCAGGTTAATGGTGGCAATACGATTCATATAAATAGATTACGCTAAGTAAATCAGGTTATGAACTGAATAATTCGAGTCACATCCACCTTCTCAGCTAGCAATGTGAATCTCTCACCGACGTCGGGCTCGTCTTCCATAGCCTGTTCGGTGAGCCCCAGAAGCCGGGCGCCATCCACAGAGCGGGCGACGAACGCGTCGGCGTACTGGGCCAGACCGAGACAGCGCAGCCAGCCGCCCACCTGAACGCAGCTCCATTCAGAGACCTGACAAAGAACGGATCGGTCACTCTACCTGTACCATAACATTGCAATATTTTCACTGTCCACGTAGCCATCGGGAGTCGGTGTGCCGAATCCTACCTGTGTGGTAGCAGCGCGAAGCGAAGCGCTGGGCGTCGGGTCCACGGCGCCGGCACTCCCACCGGCCACAGCATCACGGCTCAGTCTTAACAGCCTAATATCAGCAAACATTCGTCTCTAGAAAACCAGCAGCACGTGACGTACCGCCAGTAGCCCTGTAGTGCTCGCAGCAGCGTCAAGCTCTCCTGGCGACCGACGAACAATGGACGGTCAAAGAAAGTGAGGGCAGGAATATGGTCAGGGTGGGATCAGATATACAACTTACGGGAGCTGACAGGAGCTGCCAGGAGCCTACGGCAGCTGTCATGAGCTGTCATGAGCTGCCAGGAGCTAAAAGGACGTTACGGGAGCTGCAAGAGGTCCACGGAAGTTGACAGGAGCAAAACAGGAGCTTACGGGAGCTGAAAGAAGCTTACGGGAGCTGCAAGGAGCTTACGGGAGCTGACAAGCTGACAGGAGCGAGGTTACAGCTAGGCGAGGTCACAAAATTCGGTATAGGTCACAGGAAAACAAACGAATGTCACAAGTAGTCACACGAAGGCGACGAGGTCCTACGAGGTCACAGGAAGTCAGGCGAGGGTGGGAGAAGCCACTCAAAGCTCAGCGAGATAACAGGAGGTTGAGGAAAGCTCACGTGGTCATGCGAAGTCTCTAGAGGTCATATGAGATCACAAGGAATCAGTAGAGGTCAGATGAGCTTATAATAAGTCTGGCGACGCCCCACAAAGTCAAACAAGTTTTTTTTTCTTGTCGTGAATGACGTGTGGATGAGCTAGTATGTGTGAGGGAGATGTGCCATGAAATAAGCTGAAAAGCTTTTGCACCGATCCCAGACTGTAGTGTATGATGTCTACACATGTGAAAACATTCAATAAAACCGAGCAAACAAAACAAACAAAACAAGATCACGCATTGCCCTACGGTCGGGGAGGTCACACGAAAGTTAGGTGAGGTCACATAAGGTCATCGCAATCAAGCGGTTTCACTTCCACACTCATGTTATGTTACTTCCCCTTACTTTGCGTGACCTCGTGGGTCATCACCCGACAACTGCCCTCCCAAGTGCTCAGATACCTATCCATCTCGCCCCACCTGCGGACGAGTATTGGCGCCGCAGGACCCACCTGGTGAGGGAGGCTCCGTTCGGAACTGTCTCCGTGTCCGTCTCAATCCGGACTCGCGGCGGTGGCCAGACCGTCCAGTTGGTGCGTCACCAGTCGCAGCAGACCCGCCGTCAGACGACGCAGCTCTGGCAACGCGGTCTGCATGCGGCCCCAGGTGGCGCGCTGCCGAGAGCGCAGACGGCGTCACGTGGCGCCCGCAGCTGCCACCCGCTACCAGGGGGCAGGCGCCGTCCAGGGCCGCCACCAGCTGCTGCAGCTGGGTCAGCAGCTCGGCCTCCCGGCGCGGCCGGCGCAGGGTCGGCGGACGCAGCGACAGCGCGCCGTCAGCCAGCGGCTCCAGCCGGGTCAGCGCCGGCAGGTCCTCGGGCGGCAGCTCGCGGCGCACAGTCTCCTCGGCGGCGGCACCGAGATCGCGCACGGCGCGCCGCAGCGCTGAGAACTGGTGGAACGACGGGTGGTACCAGTCCCGCGCACGACCGGCACACAGCGCAACGAACTCGCCCGGAAAACGCACACTGTCACACGGTGCATTAGCGTCGCTCGATTCGATGGACGCGTCCCCACATCTAAGCACTGACTGGCATTCACTGTCAGAAGTTCGTGACACACTCTGGCTAGTCTGTGTCAAATAGTCTGACCGGTCACCACACATAAAAAGAGCACTTTGGTCACTGACACAACCCGTGCGAGTCCCACACTCGTCGCAGTCGACGGGAGTCTGACAGCGTGGCACAGCTGTCCAACTCACTCATTTCACAATCATCAGCTGCCTCCAGCTCTCTGATGGCCGGCTGGCTCCAGGTCGGACCAGTTATCCACGAGTCGCTGCTAGTCTAGTGCTGCTCGGCCCCGTCCCCAGAGTGCTGCGCTGTGCCGCCGGCCGGCGCCGGCTGCCGCTCCGCCCAGTCAGCGGTGGTGACCAGCAGCTGACCAGTGAGCCAGAGCAGCTGGTGCGCCAGCGGCGCCGGCAGTCGCGCCGGCTCCACCTCGCCGTGCGCCAGCCGGTTGCGCCGCCGCGGCCCGGCCGGCCACACGAGCAGGTCGCAGAGCTGGCAGAGCACGGCGTCCCCGCAGAGGGCGCGTAGCGAGCCCCAGCACCAGAAAGCCGTGCCACACCAGGTTACGGACGTTCAGAGTGCACGGCGGTCCGAGCAGCAGCCGCAGCAGGTGCACTCCGGTGTAGTTCCCAAGATGCTGACGAGTTTCGGCGCACTCATTAAGTCTTTGAGCAGGAATGGAACCCGTGAACATTCCAGAAACAATATGTTACCAAGCCCTCGGTCGGTGGCAGTGCACAGTTCGGCCATGTGCAGAGCGGTGAGCCGCCGGTCCCAGCCCCTGTCCAGTCGGCGCACCACGTGGGTTCAAACGGCAGCCACCGGGCGGCCAGCCGCCGCAGCCGCGCGCGCATCGTCCGCGGCGCGCAGCAGCCGCCGCAGCGGGCCGCAAAGAGACAGCGTGCCGCCGTAGCTGGGCGAGTCGGCCAGGCATAAAATCCGCGACATCTGTCCACAGCAGAAGACCGTCACTGTCAACAATATTCAATATCGTCAATCACTTTCGTCATCCGTAGCTTGTTCGTGCAAACCCTCAAATAATTTCTGCACAAAAAGGTGAGAGAAATGACGATGCATCATCGTGGGCATACCAGGCTTCCCCCACCCCCCGTTCGCCCATTTCGATGATATTGACGTCAGTGAGGTTGAAGTCAACCCACAAGCAGACTATTCAACTAATGTGTAGCGTAATATGGTGATATCAAATTTCATTAAGTCTTCTTATAGTCTCACGTTGTGAAATCCGTGAAATACTCCCAGGTCAAGTCATTAATCCTTCGTAAGTTATATTCAACCAGTCATTCAAACAAATCAAAGCATGGCAACGCGCGCGTCCGCCATTGAAGATGATTTTGATATGCACCGGTCATATTCAGTAAGTCGTAAGTACTATGACTACTTGTATTATTAAATTTCAAATTCAGTCATACCGTATTAGCGGAGAGCAGCCAGGTATAGGTTGGCCGGCGTTGGCACCCTCTGCGGTCTCAGCACTGCCGGCTGCCCAGAGGCAGGCTCGGCCATCTCCATGCACCGGCACAGAGGCAACGGCGCTACAGGCCGTTTTGTCGCCTTCTGTAACAAAAAAAATAAAACAGTTCAGAGAACACACACACACACACACACGCACACGCACACCCACACGCACACGCACACGCACACGCACACACACACACACACACAAATGAACTAACGGTTAAGGCCAAACAGCATCAAATTATGGGAACGTGTCTGTTTGGTTTTAACTGTTCTGTTAATACAAACGACGCCCATTAAAATAAAAAACAACAGCTGCATAAAAATCAGAATTCAATAAACCGATCATGGAAACGGAAATACCCTGATTAAAAGCAAGAATTTTAGTTAAGCCTTTTGATGCAACACAAGTGCGTTATGATGTACGGAATTGGGTGTATGGGTGAGCATTTGAGTAACACGATCGAGTGGGGACTCGATATGGACTACTTCAGTTAAAGTCATGATCAATTGACACCTGTATCCGAATGAGGATGCTGTCTTCAAAATCGGCGGAATACGGTGCAGTGCTGCCGGTCGCGGTCGCGTGTACCAGCCAGCACACTCGGTAGCCGCAGCTCCACCCGTCAGCCTGTTGCGGCGTATCCGGGACGACGAGACGCCAACTGGCCCACTTGAGCTGGGGCACCGCCGCCTCCATGAGGAGCTGCACCGCCTCGGTGTCGCTCTGAGCCGGCGAACAGCCCATCGAGTTACAGAACACCACTACTTGGTGGCGCCAGCTCACCACGAACAACACCCAATGGTTGCCGACATTCAGCGGCAGCAGCCAGGTGTCCAGTGTGGCGAACCGCCTGAAGAATACCGCCATGCAGCGTGTACATGCTGCCGCGATGCACTGACGCCAGAACACGGACAGCGCCAGCACCGGCGGAGAGGATACCGACTCGCTGAACAGGTCCAGATCCTCGTCGGTTAGCCACTTCCTGGAGACTGGTGTCTTCTTTCCTGGTAGAGGCGCTCGCTGCAGCTGCTCTGTAGCTGGCCGCGCTCGCTGCAGCTGGTCTGTGGCTGGCCGCGCTCGCTGCAGCTGCTCTGTAGCTGGCCGCGCTCGCTGCAGCTGCTCTGTAGCTGGCCGCGCTCGCTGCAGCTGGTCGGTGGCTGGCCGCGCTCGCTGCAGCTGCTCTGTAGCTGGCCGCGCTCGCTGCAGCTGCTCTGTAGCTGGCCGCGCTCGCTGCAGCTGCTCTGTAGCTGGCCGCGCTCGCTGCAGCTGGTCGGTGGCTGGCCGCGCTCGCTGCAGCTGGTCTGTGGCTGGCCGCGCTCGCTGCAGCTGCTCTGTAGCTGGCCGCGCTCGCTGCAGCTGGTCGGTGGCTGGCCGCGCTCGCTGCAGCTGGTCTGTGGCTGGCCGCGCTTGTCCGGTAGGCCACTGTCGAGGTAGCGGTGGCGTTTTCTTCGGCTGCAGATTCGCCGGCAAACAGCTTTGCGGCGGCCTTGCCCGTGCGTACCACGTAGGTCTCTTCGAGTGGTCTCGCTTCGCCCAGTTTTCTTCCTGAGCCTCCGGGTGCGTCAGAGCGTCGAGAACTTTGCGTTTTTTCCCCTTAGGGACGGGCCGGGTGGGCACCAAGTCGTCCTTCATCTTGGAGGCGGTGTCCTTGATAAGGAGGCGCACGAAATCGCCAGGCCGAAGACGTGTTCGTCCCACCAGGAGCTGCTTTTTCAGGACCCGCATGTGTGATTCTACGGCTGCGTTGCTGATCACACAGTCTGTAAGAATCTGGCTCCACAGTGGGGCTAGCGGCATGACCGCTCGCAGCAGGTACTCCACCAACTCCGGACAGAAGTATGGGTTTGTGACGTGTTTGACCGAGGCCTTCACGTCCTCCTCTCGGGCACGTCTGGCGACATCCTCAAAGTGCCGCCCGAATGACGTCCGTGCCCGGTAAGTTTTCGCGTGCTCGTCTTCGGGAACGGGATCTTTCTCGATCTCACCGTCGTCGGCATCACCGTCAGACCCTGCCGCCGCCGCCGAGTTCAAGTCTGACAGGTCCAGGTGGTCCACGCACTCAGTTGACATCGCCAGGATGCACAACTTCCTGAAGCACTGGTCTAGGGCCGGGAGGGACGACGCCTGCTGCATCTTGGCGAACAGCCACATGTAGCCCATTTTTGCGGCTCCCTCGACTCCCTTGCCCTTAAGCGTGCTGGAAAAGCTGTGAGAGATGTGGGCTCCACACAGGCTGATGAGAGAGGCCGGTCGCGGGTCCGAGTTGCTGACGGCTTTCCAACACGTCTCGAGGTAGGCCAGGGTCGTCGTTTTCATTAGTCCCTCCGCCACGGCGTGTATCAGCGCCCAGCTGAAGTCGGTCACGATGCGGGGAGGCTCCAGGGTCGCTTTTGTCACCAGCCAGTAGCCGTGCGCCAGCTGGGAGAGGAAGTGTGCGACTGTGGGAACAGTATGGCTCTCCGCGAGGAGGTGAGCCAGCGGGTAACTTCTGGTCTCTGCCTCGGGGCTCTCGGCGATGAGGGCATAGAGGAATGGTTGTTTCTCGCCGACCTGGCGGGTCACGGAGCCGGTGGCGTCCAGGTGGAGCGGTGTCGGTGCTCGGTGGTACTTCCTTAGGAAGTGTTCTCGGTACAAGTGTACCACCAGCGGCACTTTGCCGATTAGCTGGACGCCGCCCTTCAGGATCTTGCTTGTCCCGTCCTCGGATCGAGACACGTCCATTGTCGAGGCCACGTCCTCTGACCAGTCGGCAGAATAGCGCTCGGTCGCGCGGCGCTCGTAGGCAGCTTGGCGCAGAACTGCAGCCGGCGGTGCTTGTGTCACATTTCCGTCGAGCAGGTGCGCATCGGGTGTCTGCTGCAACATCTTTTGCCTTATGAGATAGGCTCCCTGTTGGTCGACGAGAGCGGCGGTGGCATGGCGGCGCTCTCCGCTCAGGTGGCGGTGTGCAAAATATTTCTGATGAGCCGCGCTGGCAGACCCGAACACCTGGCAGTGGATGGTGGTTTGGCTCCCCGGCGCCGGCGGGTGGCGGACCACGAAACGGTACCGATGGCAGCCGGGGAATCGACAGGTAGCGAAAGTCGTGAGGAACGGCGTTTTGGTCTTCCGGGACCCATCTTTCTTGAGGTGCCGTCTGCGAATTGCCAGCACGCATTTCGGCCCAGGCGTGGACCGAATAAATGCTGCGGCAAAAATAGCCGTCCATCCCTTCTTCAGTGAGTGTCCGGAAAAGACTTGTGGCACTTCTTCCTCTGTGAGCGAAAATTCGAATGCCGACGTCTCCGTCTCAATCGGCGTCTCCTGTAGCGTCTTCAGTCGTGGCTCCGGCTCCGGACGCGGCTCCGGGCGCGTCTCCAGTCTCGGTTCCGGATCCGAACATGGCTCGGGATTCGGTCCCAGCTCCATGCGTAGCTCCTCGGGCGGCTCCGGGCGCGTCTCCGGACGTGTCTCCGGGCGCGGCTCCGGGCGCGTCTCCAGTCTCGGTTCCGGCTCCGAGCACGGCTCCGGATTCGGTCCCATCTCCATGCGCGGCTCCGGGCGCGGCTCCGATCTCGGTTCCATGCGCGGCTCCGGGTGCAGATCCGGTCTCGGTTCCATGCGTAGCTCCTGGCGCGGCTTCGCGCGCATTTCCAGTCTCAGTTCCGGCTCCGAGCACGGCTCCAGATTCAGTCCCAGCTCCATGCGTACTCGTAGCTCCTGGCGCGTCTCCAGTCTCGGTTCCGGCTCCGAACACGACTCGGGATTCGGTCCCAGCTCCATGCGTAGCTCCTCGGGCGGCTCCGTGCGCGACTCCGGGCGCGGTTCCGTGCGCGACTCCGGGCGCGACTCCGGGCGCGGCTCCGTGCGCGACTCCGGGCGCGGCTCCGGACGCGGCTCCGGACGCGGCTCCGGGCGCGTCTCCAGTCTCGGTTCCGGCTCCAAACACGGCTCGGGATTCGGTCCCAGCTCCATGCGTAGCTCCTCGGGCGGCTCCGTGCGCGACTCCGGGCGCGGCTCCGTGCGCGACTCCGTGCGCGACTCCGGGCGCGGCTCCGGACGCGGCTCCGGGCGCGTCTCCAGTCTCGGTTCCGGCTCCGAACACGGCTCGGGATTCGGTCCCAGCTCCATGCGTAGCTCCTCGGGCGGCTCCGTGCGCGACTCCGGGCGCGGCTCCGTGCGCGACTCCGGGCGCGGCTCCGTGCGCGACTCCGGGCGCGGCTCCGGACGCGGCTCCGGGCGCGTCTCCAGTCTCGGTTCCGGCTCCGAACACGGCTCGGGATTCGGTCCCAGCTCCACGCGTAGCTCCTCGGGCGGCTCAGTGCGCGACTCCGGGCGCGGCTCCGGACGCGTCCCCAGTCTCGGTTCCGGCTCCATACACGGCTCCGGATTCGGCTCCATCTCCATGCGCGGCTCCGGGCGCGGCTCCGGTCTCGGTTCCATGCGCGACTCCGGGCACGGCTCCGGGCGCAGCTTCTGACAAAACTCCGGCGCAAAGTCTAGTTCCATGCCTGGTTCCGCCACAACCAGTCCGGTCGGCAGAACACAGAACCTCGGGATCGGAGTGGTTGGATTGGTGGATATGGCTGGTAGGTTGGACGAAGGCTCAGGCGCGAAGAGCTTCATCACTTGCCTAGGAACCAGGAAAAGGAAGACATTAAAAAAAAACATAAAAGGACGTTTGTAGCGACATTAATATTAACGTCGTTTCATAACTTCGCTTTAAAACAAACTTCTGTTAAAAAATCGTTTAAACTGAAGTACCTAGGTAATACATAAAACAAGCAACGGAAAACATAAACTGCATAGGCATTGAAAACATACCTTTGGAAAGTCCCGCCTCTGATGAAACTTCGTCGGAGAGCACTCGCCCTTGCTGCAGCTGCCAAACGCTGTTTTTGGTTCTTTGGCTTCCCCTCCAGGTGTAAAAGAGAAGATAGCCAGAAGATATTTTTCGCTGGCGAATGCCCTTCTCTGGATGCCTCCAAAATGCCCTACAGGTGAAAAGAAAACATGGTTCAAGTAGTAAAAATGCAAAGGGTGAGCTCAGTCCTGGCTGTTCGAAAGGGACAAAACATTTACAGTGTTGAAGTGAGGGCACAAAGGGGTCAATCATATCCACACATGACAACGAGCAGTCAATAGGTAAAGGCTCAAACAACTCTTACTTTTTTGATGATATAACTATTATAAAACAACAATTTTCAATTTTTCAATTTTTCAAAGTAGAAGTGTAGTTGCATAGAACGATGGGAATTTTTCAATTTTTCAAAATATAAGTGTAGTTGCATAGAACGATGGGTATGTCTGAGACCAAAATAACCACTTAACCCAAAAAAAAAACTACAGATGACAGCCTGAATCATCTGCTGATTATTCATGGATCAAATGCAGCTATGTGGTACATCAAGGAGGCATACGTATAAGCTATTCAGTACCTACCTATTCATGATTCAGTGTTACTGAAATGTCTTACCGGTGCCAGGCTGGAGACAGAAGGCGTGTTTTCAGCAAGAGGGGGTCGTCCACCACCACCAGTTGGAGCCATGGTCGTGGTCGTGGGAGTCCTGACTGTTCGAAAGGGAACAATTGGAGGTTACGGAGGTCATCTGGGACATGTCAAGTCACAGAGGTCAGCCTGGAGTCATCAGAGCTCAATTGGAGGTCACGGAGGTCATCTGGGACACGTCAGGTCACACAGGTCAGCTTAAGGTCATCAGAGAGGTCACTTAGAGGTCGCAGAGGTCATATGGGACACGTCAGGTCACAGAGGTCAACTTGGGGTCATCAGTGAGCTCAATTGGAGGTCCTCTGGCACATGTCAGGTCACAGAGCTCAGTTTGGAGTCATCAGAGAGGTCACTTGAGGTCACAGAGATCATATGGGACACGTCAAGTCACAGAGGTCAACTTGGATCATCACAGAGCTCGATTGAAGGTCACGGAGGTCATCTGGGACACGTCAAGTCACAGAGGTCAGCTTAAGGTCATCAGAGAGGTCACTTAGAGGTCGCAGAGGTCATATGGGACACTTCAGGTCACAGAGGTCAACTTGGGGTCATCAGTGAGCTCAATTGGAGGTCATCTGGGACATGTCAGGTCACAGAGATCAGCTTGGAGTCATCAGAGAGGTCACTTAAGGTCACAGAGGTCATATGGGACATGTCAGGTCACAGAGGTAAGCTTGGAGTCATCAGAGCTCAATTAAAGGTCACGGAGGTCATCTGGGACACGTCAGGTAACAGAGGTCAGCTTGGGGTCATCACAGAGCTCTGTTGGAGATCATGGGGGTCATCTTGGACACGTCAGGTCACAGGGGTCAGCTTGGGGTTATCAGAGAGGTCACTTAGAGGTCGCAGAGGTCATATGGGACACGTCAGGTCACAGAGGTCAACTTGGGGTCATCAGTGAGCTCAATTGGAGGTCATCTGGGACCCCAGTAAGAAATACCATTAGAAATTACCAAATGGTTCCAAATGGGAAAAACCATTTGACTTATTGAACACTTTTCCAAATGGTTCCAAAGAGGTTCCATTTGAAATGTGTCCAATTGGCCACCAATTGGTACCAATTGGAACCATTTCATGACCATTTGAAATATGTCCAATTGGTCACCAATTGGTGTTGCCGATTCATTCACTGATTCGTTCATCAATTCATTCATTCACTTATTTATGCTCACCTTCATTCACTCATTCGTTTCAATTCGCTCTATATTATTTCTGCAGATGTCATCGTCTTATTTTATGCAAAGAGCAATGGATGTCTTATTAGTTTTTCTCCGTCCTAGCAGACCTTTAAATTTTCAAATGTCTCTATAATTGTCTCGCGACCTTAATTTTTTGGCTAATGACCTTTGCCATCGATTGTAGGTCAGACGTCAAAAATATTTTCATTGCACAAGTATGAATGTTCGTTTTTATTTCAATATATTGTGAAAATGAAAAAGGCGTCTCATGTTGCAGTTCGCAACATTTCATGAAAATATTTTAAATGTCGTTACGGTAACGTAAATGTAGATTTACACTTCGAATCGTTACAATTCCTATTATTCTGAGTAACGTAACATCGACTTATCGTTCCTCACGTCACGTTGTAATCGCAGCATAGCATTAATTAAAGTAAACGATGACTTTAAATATTGCTTAAACTTGTTGCTGAACAACCATGAGTCGTACACCGGTTCCCACTCCGAGAAGAGGAGACAGAGTGAGACGCGCTCCAGTTCGTTATGGTTTCGAAGACGACGAACGGGAGAGCATCAATGAAGCCGGGGCCATGAGTGTTTGCTCATCAGTCTCGATGTCGTCGAAAGCTTCATCACGCAGATCTGCTGAGTTAAGATTGAGACAACTACAGCAGGAGCAAGCACTACAAAGAAAACACGAAGAAAACTTAAGAGCGCTGGAGCTGTTGAGAGCCCAACATGATGTAGAAAGGGCTGTGCTCGAAGAGGAAGAGGAGACAAACGAGGAGAGGCCGAACATTTTGCCATCTACCACACTTGAAAATCGTGAAGACATCGGTCCGTCAGTGGCTGATTCGAGCCGAGCTGAGCGTCCCGCTCGCCTGGGAAACGCAAGCCAACAAGCCAACAAGCCTGTGAATATCACGATTACTGAGGCTCCTAAGTTAGATGTACTGTGTTTTGACGGTGATGTGGCACACTACCCACTGTTCAAACGGCAAGTCAACGAGGCACTGGAAAGCGGCCTATTTTCCGAAGCCAAAATCGTGTCTCACCTCAAAGAGAGGCTGAAAGGGGAGGCATTTAATGCCGTGCACGGTGCCCTCCTGGCTGGAGCCTCTCTGACGCGCATTCTACACGTCTTAGATTCCAGATTCGGAAACAAACTGCGCGTAACTCAAGCTGTAACGAGAAAACTCCTAGAACGATCAAAAATGAGTGTCATGGATGTTGAAGAACTCGCTCGCTTCAGCACAGAGGTATACAACGCGATAGCAGTCCTCGAATCGATGGGAAGCGAAAACGAAATGAACAACTTTCGAACGATCAGCCTGCTCGTAGAGAAGCTGCCTCTGGACAGTCAGCATGCATGGGGCTCATACGGAAGACAGCATGCGGACGAACACGGTGACGTCACCTGCCGCACCTTCTGTGACTTTCTGGAGGAGCACGCTCAAGACCGGCAATTCAGCGCCGTTCGCGCTGAGCCCGGCAGCCGAGAACCTACCCGGAAGCCACGCCCACTACCCAGAAAAGTAAGGCAGAGTTACGCGATGGACAGCGCTGCTGAAGTGGGTCGTGTGGCCGCGTCAGACGCAACCAGTCCCAGTGGGCAAGGAACACGGAGTCGCGCGCAGGTTTCGTGTTACTTTTGTAAGCAGCCCCATTGGATTTCGCGCTGCAAAGCTTTCCAAGAGCTGACCGGTGACCGGAGATGGAAGTGGACCGAGTCAAACAGCGTCTGTGTGAGGTGTTTGAGTACGTCACATCGCACACAACAGTGTCATAGACAATTGCCATGTGGCGTCGACGGCTGCAAAGAAAAACATCACGCTCTGCTACACACCAAGCCGCAGACGACAGCGGTAGTGGGCACGGTGAACGCCGATCGTAAAGTTATGCTGATGAAGACGGTGGTGGTACGTGTTCACGGACCGAGCGTCACAAGACAGTGCGTAGCTTACTTAGACGAAGGTAGTTCCCTGACACTAATCGAGAGTGATTTGGCAGAAGAACTGGGGCTTGACACGAAGCCGGACAAGATGAGAATTAGGACGATGACCGGCGTCACAGAGCACGAAGTTGGAAAACTCGACCTTCTCGTCAGCAGCGTCGAAACAGGAAACGAGTTTGAGCTGAAGGATGCCGTAGCCATCAACAAGCTGGAACTGAGCAGAAGCCCAGTGACTATGACGGACCTCGCTAAAAAGTATCCCCTGCTCGAAACTATGGCGATACCTTATCTCGATGAGGCTCCTCGAATGATCATCGGGATGGACAACGCTGAGCTCATCGCCACAAGACAGCTGCGGCGAACGACGAAAAATGGTCCTCTGCTGCAGAAGACCCTCCTCGGCTGGACAGTGACAGGGCGGGCCCTGGCCGCTGTCACTGTTACTGACGAGCAAGTGCAGTTCATCCGGCGGCATGAAGATGACTGCACCCTATTGGACGAGACGTTTCGAGCCAGCTGGACTACTGAGTCGTTTGGCTGTGTGTACGACAAAGATACACCTGACAGTCCAGAAGACCGCCGAGCAGAGTCCACTCTTCAACAAGAAGTGTTCCACAATGGAGAGCGCTGGGTCGCGCCCATTCTGCTGCGAGATTCGCAGGCCGTGTTTCCTCCCAGCCGGACGATGGCTGAGAGGAGAGCTAAGACTCTGGAAAGAAAACTGGACAAAACTGAAAAGTCAGGAGATGGAAAATCAGCCAAACTGGTGTACGAAAAAATGGACGAAATGATAAGAAACGGACACTTCCGGAGACTAAGCACGGAAGAGGCAGCCAAAGAAACTGACCGCACATGGTACCTTCCCTTGTTAGCAGTCACTAACAAGATGAAGCCGGAAAAGGTACGACTGGTTCTCGACGCCGCCGCGAGGAGTCAGGACAGATGTCTCAACGACTATCTCATGAGAGGACCGGACTTCTCCAACTCCATTCCTGGAATCATCTGCAGATGGCGTGAAAAGCCAATCGCCGTGACTTCCGACGTCAAGGCCATGTTCTCGCAAATTCTCGTGCGGGACCAGGATCGAGCTTGTCTGCGGTTCCTATGGAGAGGACGCCGCCGGACGGGACCAGTGGACACTTACGAGTCACAAGTCGTCATCTTTGGCGCAAAATCTTCACCGGCTGTCGCTGGATACTGCTTCAGGGAGACGGGCAAACGATTCGGAAGCCAACTTCCACACGTGATGGACGCTATTGAAAACTGTACGTACGTGGACGACATCATATACAGCGTCAACACGGAAAATGAGGCGATCAAATTCATTGAAGACATGACGTCGACCCTGGCTCAAGGAGGGTTCGAACTGAGTGATTGGACTTCAAACTCTGCGACAGTGGTGAAGGACGGGTCGGGGAACGAGACATCACTCGAAGAAAATGTAACACTGGGTGTGACCGACTCACAACGAACCCTCGGCACGGTCTGGAAGCCCAGCTCTGACGTCATCACATACAGTGCCCAACTGACGACTCCGACGCCCACGAAGAGGAATATCCTGTCAGTCGTGATGTCCGTCTTCGATCCGTTGGGCTACCTGTCCGGGTGGCTACTGCCAGTGAAAAAGGCGCTGCAAAACATGTGGGCAAAACGTCAAGGATGGGAAGACGAGCCTGATGGACAAGACAGGAAAGTTTGGGAAGAATGGACCCGTGAGCTAGCTCTCATCAGCTCCGTAGACATGCCCAGACATTATTTTCGACAAGATGCCGAAATCACTGCCGTAGAAGTACACGCATTTTGTGACGCGAGTACAGACGGATTTTCTGCGGTCGTGTACTACAAGTGGACGTCCAACTCTCAAGTCTTCACTACATTTGTCGCAGCACGGTCCAGACTCGCGCCGCTGAAGACGCTGTCCGTCCCTCGCCTAGAGCTCCAGGCAGCCGTCTTGGCGACAAGACTAGTCTGCTCGCTCCGGAAGGAAAGTCGCCTCGACTGGACGGCTGTGACCTATTGGTCCGACTCCAAAAACGTTTTGGCGTGGATCAAAGCGCAAGATAGACGATACCATGTCTTTGTGAGCAACAGGACGGCCGAAATTCTCGACAGGTCGTCGGCCAAGCAGTGGCGCTACGTACCGACAGCGCTGAATCCAGCTGATGGTGGCTCGAGGGGTCACCGGCTGCGTGACCTGCATCCAGACGGGTTTTGGGCGACAGGTCCCGATTTCCTGCATGAAACACGTGACACGTGGCCAGAGGAACTGAACTCATCACCTCAAGATATTCTGCAAGATGATCCGGAGACCAAGCTTGTATTCACGGTTGATGCCGCTCAGTCCCCAGTTCCAGACATCAGACTTGCAATGCCAGATCTGTCAAGATTCTCAAAGTGGAGTACAGCAGTTCGGACCGTCTCGGTGATCCTGAGATGGAGAAATCGCGCAAAAAGGCAATATGGAATCAAAGCTACAGCAGAAGATGGCCAGTCCGTGGAAGTCGAAGCTGAAGCCCTGCTGATGAAATTGGCTCAGCAAGATGTCTACGCAGCCGAGCTGCGCGATCTGAAGGCCGGCATTCCCCTGGATCCCAAGAGCCCTCTGTCAGCGCTGACAGTCACACTGATGGATGGGCTGATATGCCTAGACTCAAGGACAAGACGATCTCCGGAAATGAGTACATCTGCTAGATTTCCAGTCATCTTACCACGCGCTCACCTGTACACACGTCTGTTAATACAGCACATCCATGAGAAGATGGCTCACCGCGCTCACGACGCCGTTCTCGTTGAATTACGACAGCGGTGTTGGGTGCCACAGGCAGCACGGGAGATCAGGAAGGTCGTCTCTCAGTGTCAGCTGTGCAAGATCAGGAAGGCCAAGCCTGCAGCACCGCAGATGGCACCTCTGCCCCTGCCGAGAGTCACCATGTTGGGTGGAGCGTTTCGTGCGACGGGACTGGATTTTTTCGGTCCGATGCAGATCAGGAAAGGACGAGCCGTAGGCAAGATCTGGGGAGCTCTGTTCCGGTGCATGGCGACAAAGGCTGTACACATAGAGCTCACTGAGAGACTGGACACCGACGCTACCCTGATGGTTATAGCGCGGTTTCAAGCAAGAAGAGGGAACGTGAAGACGCTGTGGACAGATAACGCAAGCAGTTTCAAATCAGCGAACAAGGAGCTAAAGGATCAGTTCGCGCGTCTCAATCATCAGAAGATTACCAAGCAACTCAGCTTGGACGGCATCACCTGGAGATTCAATGTACCAGCTGATCCTGAAGCCGGAGGAGTTTGGGAGCGCAACATTCGCACGGTCAAAGAAACGCTCCGTGTCATATTGAAGGAGCGACGGCCGACGTTTGAGGTTCTCAGCACGGTGATATGCGAGGTCGAGAAGATCTTGAACTCCACCCCGCTGTTCCATGTACCGGTAGACCCAGATGATGAAGAACCCCTGACGCCGTTCCATTTTTTGATCGGGCGGCCGTCTCCTTCTTATCCCCATGGGACACCTGCCGAGGACGACATCGACCTGCGGAAGCGCTGGAAACACGCTCAACTTTTGTCAGAGCACTTCTGGAAGAGATGGGTTCGTGAGTATTTGCCAACGCTCGCAAAACGGCCAAAGTGGAACAAAAGTGAGCGAGACATTGAAGCCGGAGACGTAGTAATCATTGTCGACCCGCAGAGCCCACGTGGTCTGTGGCCGAGAGGAAAGGTACTGGAAGTGGTACGCGCTGAGGACGGTCACGTCCGCTCTGCCCTAGTGAAAACGAAGCACGGGATCCTTCACCGCCCGGCCAGGAAGCTGATCGTACTGGATCTGATCCCCGTGATGAAACGCTGATATGGAGACCGACCGAAGAACGAGTGATATTACTGTGTGAATGGATCGTCATTTATGTGTCTAGTGTCTAAACGAATTTAGAGAAGCCGGGATGTTGCCGATTCATTCACTGATTCGTTCATCAATTCATTCATTCACTTATTTATGCTCACCTTCATTCACTCATTCGTTTCAATTCGCTCTATATTATTTCTGCAGATGTCATCGTCTTATTTTATGCAAAGAGCAATGGATGTCTTATTAGTTTTTCTCCGTCCTAGCAGACCTTTAAATTTTCAAAAGTCTCTATAATTGTCTCGCGACCTTAATTTTTTGGCTAATGACCTTTGCCATCGATTGTAGGTCAGACGTCAAAAATATTTTCATTGCACAAGTATGAATGTTCGTTTTTATTTCAATATATTGTGAAAATGAAAAAGGCGTCTCATGTTGCAGTTCGCAACAATTGGTACCAATTGGACACATTTTAAATGGTCATGAAATGGTTCCAATTGGTACCAATTGGTGGCCAATTGGACACATTTCAAATGGAACCTCTTTGGAACCATTTGGAAAAGTGTTCAATAAGTCAAATGGTTTTTCCCATTTGGAACCATTTGGTAATTTCTAATGGTATTTTTTACTGGGCAGCTGGATTACCATTTGAAGATCCTTTTGAGGTCCATGCACTTCATGCACAAAATAACAAACTGCACCGTGAATTATTTTTATTGTTTTACTCTGCAAGCATATACATTTTCATCAGTACGTACCTACCAACATTAGACATTAACTACACATGGACATTGCTGTTGCATGGTCAACACCACATCGATGAGGCGACTGCTATCAGAATCAAGAACAGAATTACAATGTAGTTATTCACTGGGCCATACGTACGCTATTCCACATGGGCACAATGACCGATGTGATACAATATCATTCCGATCGGTGATACTGTCTGTTGTTCTGACAGATAGATTTCTTAATCTTCCGTGGCGATCAGAATTTTCAGAAGTCAGAACGTAGCTATAATGCAGGCATGCAGCCCATCTGGACCCGTGTAGAGCCGGTAGACGGCGTCTGTCCGGTGCAAGTTCGTGCCTGCAACAGTACAGGACAGCACGGGTTAATTGGGCGATGGGATCAAATTAATTAATTACCACACAGGGTCATTTGTAAAATATCACAATATAATAACTTTAAGCTCATGCAACTTGCATTGTCATTTAGGCAGCCTGACCACAACAAATATGGCACTGACAATTTTCTGCTGGCAAAATAAATTGTGATCGCAAATTTTAAGCCTCTTTCTCGCTTCTGTTAAAGGGACCCTCCCACCTTCAAAAAAGTTTATGAATTGGCATGAAAGTGATGTCACTCGGTTCAGAAAGAGCGAAAACGAATATCTACCAAATTTCACCGAAAAATATTCACCGGTTTTCAATATATTAGACTTTTACTTTTGTTTACTTTTTGGGATCTCCGCTGTTCCTAGCGACTTTATTTAAAAGTGCGGCATTTGTTGCGCGCAACGCAGCATATACCACCGCGTGCTACAAAACGTTTTAGTCAAACATTTAACGGACGTTCGAAAGCCTGATGACGTCATCAGATTCCCGTAATGGTTAAGAGATAGGGACCACGCTGGTCCCACCCTGCAAGTAAAGGGAAGAAATTTCTTGAACACCATAAAGCTGCGGGGGTTGCGACCAGGATAAATGGTGGTTTCTGAGCCTGGCCGCAAACTTGGCTATCTCAACTCAAAACTAATGTTAAGGTGGGAGGGTCCCTTTAAACTCCTTACTTACAAAGATGCCAAATGCAACCAAATTTATTCAAATAACTATTTTCAGTATTTGCAGTCGACTAAAACGAATATCGCATACAGACAGGGGGCTGTCATCCCGAGCTTTCCTATGTGCCGGGCGGCCGACTGTTTAACATTACCCGTGACGTCACCGGGGCGTACACTTGTCAGCTGCGCTTCCCCGCAAGTTTGGCCTTGAATACGATTTTAAGGGTCACGGTTGTAAACAAGTTCCTTTCCGGAAACGTTCCGGAAACGCTGGAAGCGTTGTCATGCTTAAATTTTCTGGAAATTGCTTCATATCTAATTTGCGCCTAAAATCACTTGAAGCATAGGCTCCTTAACGCTTTCCTTATTGTAAAGTGTTGCATTGTCTGCATAATGAGGAGAACGCTAACCGGTCAAAAGGGCGATGTGTTGTGAGGAGGCGCCGACAGGTCAGGAGGGCGCTGTACGATGAACGCTGACTGGTCAGGAGGGCGATGCATGGTGATAAGGGCGCTATGCTTTGCAAAGGGCGCCGGCTGGTCAGGAGGGCGCTGAACGCGAAGATGTCGCAGACAGGCGAGGAGGGCGCTAACAGGTCAGGAGTGCACTGTACGGTGATGAGGGCTGCGACAGATCTGGAGGACGCTGTCCGTGGAGAGGGCGCCGACAAGTCAGCAGGGCGCTGTATGGTGGGGAGAGCGCCGACAGGTCAGGAGGGCGCCGTGTGGTGAGGAGGATGCAGTACAATGAGAAGAGCACTATACGAGTGAAGAGGGCGCTGACAGGTGAGGAGGACACTGTATAAAGAGGAGGGCGCGGACAGGTGAGGAAGGCGATGTACGGTCAGGAGGGCGCCGACAGATCAGGAGGGCCGCCTACAGTGAAAAGGACACCGACTTGTCAGGAGGGCGCTGAACGTAGAGGGCGCCGGTCTGGAGGGCCTTGTATAGTTAGGAGGCCGCTATACAGTGAGGAGGATGGCGACAGGTCAGGAGGGCACTGTACGGTGAGGAGGGCGCTATAATACGATAAGGAGGGCGCTGCCAGGTCAGGAGGGCGCTGACATGTGTGGAGGGCTAGACAGATCAGGAGGATGCTGTGTGATAATGTCCGTGAGGGCGCCAACTGGTCTGCCCGGAGGGCGCCGAATGTGAAGAGGGCGCCGACAGGCCAGGAGAGCGCTAAAGGGCGAGAAGGGCGCCGACAGATCAGAAGGGCGCCGAGCAGACAGAAGGGCGCTGAAGCCTGAAGGTGAGCCGAGGGCGCTAGATGGTCAGGAGATTGGGAGTGGATATCCGGCATTTCAGGATTGTGGGTGCATCTTCACCCACAAATAGATATAAAATTGTAAACCTGGGCGCCGGTGCCGCATGATGACGCCGCAATGGCTTGACGTCGAGAGCGACTAGAGTGCTGGACACTGAAAAGGCGCCTTCGGCGCACAGAATGCCCTGGATGGTGTCTTTCCAGAGGGCGCCTGCTAGATTTGGGAGGGGCTAAATCCCAGTGTGCCCCCCCCCCCCTTGGCTGCGCCCCTGAGTCCTTTGTCTAGCGATTTTCGAAGAACGTATCGCGTCCGTAGGGGCCTTGGGAGCTGCCGGTGACCACAGGGGCCTTATCAGGCCCCTGCTGACTCGGGACCGGAGTCCTGAGTCATGTGGGCCATAACACCACAGGGCACCGCATCTTTTTCGAGATAAATGACCGTTCTGAAGCGTGTCGTATTTTCCGGAACATGACCTGGCATTTACATAGTATTAAGCGCCTGCCGGCCTCTCTCCTGTCTGCGGCTGACAGCTTACTGACGATCCATACTGACGATCCACCTGGCAATCACCAACTCAACCCTAATTACGCCGTTGTCCGCTAGGTGGCGGGGTCATACGATCCAAGTCAGGACAACGGATTCTCATAATTATTTTATTATCATATTCTCCCTTTTTAAAGTCATTTAAAAGCGCTATTGCAGAAGTAATTTTTCGATTAGCAGCGATTGCAGCCGCCTCATCAGGGTCCGGATTGAGCCAGGGAGTGTATGCCCCGATGACGTCACCGTAGTGTTGAAGATTTGTAACATTAGCGAGCCCGGACGATCTTACCTAACTTATACGGCCTTGGCATACAGAGGCACAAGAAAAGTCACTCACCAGCCGCGTGATTCTGCTCAGCTTCCTCTTTTACAGCAGGACTGGGTCCCGGTCGACCGCGGGCAGTCCCAGGCCCAGCGAACGCGAAACCCGGTGGCGCGCCGGCCGGCCGGCCGACGTCGACGCCCGATTTGAACTGTGGCGCCGGCGCGGCCCGCGCGGCCGGCCGGCGCCAACGGTCGGGCGCCGCCAGCGTAGGCACACAGAGAAAAAGTAGTGCTGTTTAAATGAGCGGAAACGGCGTGGATTTTGCGAATCATTTTTATTTAATGAAAAAACAAGACCTTGTAGTGATGCTTATCAAGTATAACCAGTCAAAGGTCTTCCCATTACCTCTAAGTCTATTATTTGTATATGTTTAAAAACCATTAGAAACCATTAGGGTACCAATTGGGAACTAATAGATACCCAGTCCATACTCAAAACACACTTGAAACCATTAGAGACCATCAAGGTAGAAACACTTTTGAAGCATACTTGTCACACATCTGGAAACAGGGCTGCAAAGTGGTGGATTTATGACTCTAACTCCGACTCTGACTCAAACATTGACTCCAGCTCCGACTACTGTTCGGACTTTGCTTTTATTCATCTCATGGAATAAAAGTTATTGCCATATATGTATGTTTTCTTGCCTAAAACGACCCTTGAATGTTTTTCAAATGCATTTTTCATTTCGACACCAGTTGAAATAGAATGAGAGACACCATTTCAAAACAGATTTGCTTTTCCATTTGGGAACCATTTCGACACCAATTGGGATGAAATGGGACAAACCATTTGGGATGAAATGGTTTTCTTCCATTTGGAGACCAATTGGACACCAATTGGGATCAAATGGGAAAACCATTTGAGATCAAATGGGAGTTTTCTTTCATATGGAAACCATTAGATACCAATTGGGATCAAATGGGACACACCATTTGGGATGAAATGGTTTTATTCCATTTGGAACCAATTGGTATCAAATGGAAAGCACCATTTCAGACCAATTGGGAAGTTACCAATTGGAAACCATCTCGATACCAATTGGGAACATACCATTTGGGATCAAATGGAAAGCACCATTTCAGACCAATTGGGAAATTACCAATTGGAAACCATTTCGATACCAATTGGGACCAAATGGGACACACCATTTGGGATGAAATGGTTTTATTCCATTTGGACACCAATTGGACACCAATTGGGATCAAATGGGAAAAACCATTAGAGATCAAATGGGAATGTCTTCCATATGGAAACCATTTAGATACCAATTGGGACCAAATGGGACACACCATTTGGGATGAAATGGTTTTATTCCATTTGGAACCAATTGGAATCAAATGGAAAACACCATTTGAAATCAAATAGGATTTATTTTCCATTAGGAAACCATTTCAAAACCAATTGGGACCAAATGGAAAACACCATTTCAGACCAATTGGGAAATTACCAATTGGAAACCATTTCGATACCAATTGAGGACATACCATTTGGGATGAAATGGTTTTATTCCATTTGGAGACCAATTGGACACCAATTGAGATCAAATGGGAAAAACCATTAGAGATCAAATGGGAATTTCTTCCATATGGAAACCATTTAGATACCAATTGGGACCAAATGGGACACACCATTTGGGATGAAATGGTTTTATTCCATTTGGAGACCAATTGGGCACCAATTGGGATCAAATGGGAAAAACCATTAGAGATCAAATGGGAATTTCTTCCATATGGAAACCATTTAGATACCAATTGGGACCAAATGGGACACACCATTTGGGATGAAATGGTTTTATTCCATTTGGAACCAATTGGAATCAAATGGAAAACACCATTTGAAATCAAATGGGATTTATTTTCCATTAGGAAACCATTTCAAAACCAATTGGGACCAAATGGAAAACACCATTTCAGACCAATTGGGAAAAAACCAATTGGAAACCATTTGAAATGGTCATGAAAACCATTAGAACCTATTTCAAACCATTTGACACATTTGAAACCAATTGGTAAATCCTAATGGTTTCAAATGTTTTTTTTTACTGGGACATGTCAGGTCACAGAGATCAGCTTGGAGTCATCAGAGAGGTCACTTAAGGTCACAGAGGTAATATGGGACATATCAGGTCACAGAGGTAAGCTTGGAGTCATCAGAGCTCAATTAAAGGTCACGGAGGTCATCTGGGACACGTCAGGTCACACAGGTCAGCTTGGGGTCATGAGAAAGGTCACTTAGAGGTCACAGAGGTCATGTTGGACATGTCAGGTCACAAGGGTCAACTTAGGATCATCAAAGAGCTCAATTGGAGGTTACGAAGGTCATCTCGGACACGTCAAGTCACAGAGGTCAACTTGGGTCATCACAGAGCTCGATTGAAGGTCATGGGGGTCATCTTGGACACGTCAGGTCACAGAGGTCAGCTTGGGGACATCAGAGAGCTCAATTGGAGGTTACGGAGGTCATCTCGGGCAAGTCAAGTCACAGAGATCAACTTGGGGTCATCAGTGAGCTCAATTAGAGGTCATCTGGGACATATCAGGTCACAGACGTCAGCTTGGAGTCATCAGAGCTCAATTGGAGGTCACGGAGGTCATCTGGGACACATCAGGTCACACAGGTCAGCTTGGGGTCATAAGAGAGGTCACTTAGAGGTCACAGAGGTCATGTTGGACATGTCAGGTCACAGAGGTCAACTTGGGGTTATCAGAGAGCTCAACTGGAGGTCATCTGGGACATGTCAGGTCACAGAGATCAGCTTGGAGTCATCAGAAAGGTCACTTGAGGTCACAGAGGTCATATGGGACATGTCAGGTCACAGAGGTAAGCTTGGAGTCATCAGAGCTCAATTAAAGGTCACGGAGGTCATCTGGGGCACGTTAGGTAACAGAGGTCAACTTGGGATCATCACAGAGCTCTGTTGGAGATCATGGGAGTCATCTTGGACACGTCAGGTCACAGGGGTCAGCTTGGGGTCATCAGAGAGGTCACTTAGAGGTCGCAGAGGTCATATGGGACACGTCAGGTCACAGAGGTCATCTTGGGGTCATCAGTGAGCTCAATTGGAGGACATCTGGGACATATCAGGTCACAGAGGTCAGCTTGGAGTCATCAGAGCTCAATTAGAAGTCCCGGAGGTCATCTGGGACACGTCAGGTCACACAGGTCAGCTTGGGGTCATGAAAGAGGTCACTTAGAGGTCACAGAGGTCATGTGGGACATGTCAGGTCACATAGGTCAACTTGGGGTCATCAGAGAGCTCAATTGGAGGTTACGGAGGTCATCTCGGACAAGTCAAGTCACAGAGGTCAACTTGGGGTCATCAGTGAGCTCAATTGGAGGTCATCTGGGACATATCAGGTCACAAACGTCAGCTTGGAGTCATCAGAGCTCAATTGGAGGTCACGGAGGTCATCTGGGACACGTCAGGTCACACAGGTCAGCTTGGGGTCATGAGAGAGGTCACTTAGAGGTTACAGAGGTCATGTTGGACATGTCAGGTTACAGAGGTCAACTTGGGGTTATCAGAGAGCTCAGTTGGAGGTCATCTGGGACATGTCAGGTCACAGAGATCAGCTTGGAGTCATCAGAGAGCTCAATTGGAGGCCACTGAGGTCATCTGGGACACATCAGGTAACAGAGGTCAACTTGGGGTCATCACAGAGCTCTGTTGGAGATCATGGGGGTCATCTGAAACACATCAGCTCACAGAGGTCAACTTGGGGTCATCATAGAGGCCACGTAGAGGTTACAGAGGTCATATGGGAGATGTCAGGTCACAGAGGTCAACGTGGGGTTATTAGAGAGCTCAATTGGAGGTCATCTGGGAACCTAAGGTCACAGAGGTCAGATTGGAGTCATCAGAGAGCTCAATTGGAGGTCACTGAGGTCATCTGGGACACATCAGGTAACAGAGGTCAACTTGGGGTCATCACAGAGCTCATTGGAGGTCATGGGTGTCATCTGGGACACGTTTTTGGAATCGGGAGAATTTTTGGGGGATGACCCTTGCAACATCCAAGGCCGCCTTTCTGGATTTGTCAGTAGTTGCTGGAATGGTGTTAGGCTACTTCCAATCCCTGAATACCCGAATGAAATAATATATTATGCACCATTTTCAACACTCTCGCTGGCATGGATGGAGGCCTCATAGACGACCTGTGAGTTCAAGCTCTATAACTTGCAATAGCAGCAACAGATTGCAATAAAATTTTCAGGATCTCAGGTTTAAACAATTTTACACGTACCACGTAAATTTCGAGACAATGACCCGAATGACCTGTGACCTCCTCCCCAAGGTATGGTCAACTTGCGACACTGACACTACTTACAACTAAGTTGTGTCGCAAATCAGGCAACGTGCAATAGATTAGAATTACAATAACCCACACCAAAGCACACTATACCTACCAAATCAAGTTCTTCAGCACGCCTAAGGCCAGTGCACTTGCACGGGGCACGTCCAAGGTCAAATCGCGTTCCTCAGATTTTCGATTTGTTATTTTTATCAAGGTTTTGATACGTGCTCGCACGGTAGCCATGTTGGGATAGGCAAATTATATGTTAAATTATTTAATTATTTGAAAGTAATTTGAGGCTTGCCAAGCCTAATAATGCACAGAATAATAATCAGCATCAAAAACTGTATTGGCATAAAAAGTTATATGTGTATCAAAAGGGTCCGCTCAAAATGACCTTGACATTTGACCCGTCATTTCTCCGTAATTTGACCTTGCCAAAACGAGAAAAATTAGCAGTAGAATTGTTGACACAGGTTACATCATTGAGCAAAAATATATAGAAATCTAAGGGGTCCTTTTTTTCTCACCTGACCACGAGGTCACTTCTACTTCCTGTATTACACAAACGTGACCTTGATTCTGACCTTTGACCTATTATATATCAGTTCGTGCTGCTTGCCAAAGTAAGATACTGATATTTTTGAAATCAGCTTGTTGCGGACTATAGGTGTGCAAATTTTTACGAGAATCCAAAGGGTCCGCCGAGAATGACCTTGAACTTTGACCTAAGATTTCTCAGTTTTTAGGGGGTGCCAAGCCTAAATGATTTATTTATATAATGAGCATGTCCTGCTCTATCTATCCTGTAAATTTAAATCGATTCTGAGGGGTCTGTTTTTGTCATTTTTTCCACGAATGTGGTGCTGGAATCCGAATCCGAATTTGAAGCCAACTTTATGAACGTTCGATAAGGTAGGTTATTCAAGCCGACAGAAGTTAAAATGAGCTACAATTTGGTGCAGGGTAAATAGCCATAAATTTCATTACTCATTGTCCGATATTAAGATCTAACTTGTGAGACTAACTCTGTATTAAGTATTTTGTTGGAGCAGGAGCTATTGTGAATCTGAATGCCAGGCAATCTAATAAAAGTGTAAGATTTTTATAAATGATATGTTGATATGCCTTGAAAATAATAAATATATTACATGATTAGTCCAGTTGGGCACCTGTCAAGAGTGGAGTACGAGTGGAGTCAAGAGTGGAGCTACAGATCCGTGCTTGGGCCACTGCTGTTTGTAATCTACGTGAATGGCGTTCCTGATGTCCAGTCTGCAAAGTATGGCAATTTCGACGAGATCTCGGTGCAGGCTTGTTCAGCTGGTGCGGATTTGGTGCGGTGCGGTGCCGATTTGGCCTGGTGCGGCGCAAATTTAATGAAGTGCATTGCGGCATTGGCTTAGTAACGGACGCAACAGACCTGATAAGATAGATGAAAATCGAAAAAACTGTTGGAACTTTGAAGTTTGACATCACGTAGGTAATTCATTGTGCTCTCTGGTCTTAAAGGGACCCTCCCACCTTAACATTAGTTTTGAGTTGAGATAGCCAAGTTTGCGGCCAGGCTCAGAAACCACCATTTATCCTGGTCGCAACCCCCGCAGCTTTATGGTGTTCAAGAAATTTCTTCCCTTTACTTGCAGGGTGGGACCAGCGTGGTCCCTATCTCTTAACCATTACGGGAATCTGATGACGTCATCAGGCTTTCGAACGTCCGTTAAATGTTTGACTAAAACGTTTTGTAGCACGCGGTGGTATATGCTGCGTTGCGCGCAACAAATGCCGCACTTTTAAATAAAGTCGCTTGGAACAGCGGAGATCCCAAAAAGTAAACAAAAGTAAAAGTCTAATATCTTGAAAACCGGTGAATATTTTTCGGTGAAATTTGGTAGATATTCGTTTTCGCTCTTTCTGAACCGAGCGACATCACTTTCATGCCAATTCATAAACTTTTTTTAAGGTGGGAGGGTCCCTTTAATGAGTGTGCGGTGGTCAGGACGGACTGCTGGTGCACGTTAGTGGTGTCAATTTCAGAAAACGTATGTCCAAAGTCCGTCCAATGTCCAATGCTTACGTCGATTGTCCGTCCAAAAATGTCCAAGCCAGTCATTTGTCCAAAGATGTCCGACACCTACGCAATAGTTTACACTCAACACTGTTATTTAATTTGCTTTTCATGTACCGTTACAAGCTCAAAAGTGTTAATCATATCGAAAGCTGAGCTTTCTAATAGCAAATCAATGTTAAACACGACTACTTTTTAAAAAATGTTGAGGTGTAGCAAGCAATTGTCCAAAGTTGTCCAATGCCTGCTGCCATTGTCCAACCGAATTCCGAATTGGACATTGGACGAAATCGGAATTCCGAAGATTCAAGTTCCGATTGACACCACTAGTGCACGTGGGGCCATCAATCACGTGTGTGGCCCGCAAGTTCGCACTCTTCACACTGTTTCAACATGAAACGTACCGCTCCGATCTGTGAGGCGCCGGTGGTAGAGTGTGAGAGATGAGCACGGCAGATGAGAGGGATTCAAGATTTGTACGACTGATAGGAGGGCCAGAAAATCACCGCTCGCCGCTTCAAACAGTCAAATGCGAACAATTTTCTATCGTGTGTGTTCGTCGGCGCAGCTAATAGGTTGTGTCGAAAGAATCTGATTTTGTTGCTTTCTGCACTCTGCAGCAATCGTAAACGAGATGCGCTCGGCTCATGTAAGGGTTTAGCGGCGTCACTCGGTGGCAGGTAGGGCGAGATGTGCATGGCTGATGGCAGGCCTTGAGACTTCAGGCCCACGACTTTGCCGCGGCCAAGGCCGCTAAGTATAGTCAAATCCGCCGTGAATGACTTGCCTATCAGATTTGTTGTTCGATACAGCTGATGACCGATGGAGAAATGCCGAAAATGCATGCATGCGATGATCCCACTTCTTGCCGTTCATATTTCTATTTCAATAACTGGGGCCTTCACAAGTTGTCAAGCCGTTTAGCTAAATGGCAGTGTCGACAGTCGACATCATCAGGGTAACCATGGGACATGGCACAATAATCACTCTGGATGAATCGCCAAGGGCAAGTACCGGATAGGGTTCTTGTATTGGCGTGACATGCTTTTTGTTCTAGTCTTGCAGTGCAGTTATTTCTCGTTTCGCTTTCATACCACTGAGAGGGCAGGCTTGTGGCTCATCTCAATAATTGAGGTCAGTGCGGCTTTCAACTGGTCTCTTGTGCGGGTTCGGAGCGGATTGTTTGTACTCTCGGCCGGCTTTGGTGCGGATTTCCCGCCCCTGTTTGAAGGATTGGTGCGGATTTTGAACTTGGGCCGGTGCGCCTCGTCGACCTGCAAGCCATACTTTGCAGACTGGCCTGATGCTGTGCAGTGCAACATACAGATGTTTGCAGACGACACCAAAATCTACCGTCCACTGAGTAGCTCGTCAGACGCTGAAAGGTTGCAGGCCGACTTGAACGTAGCCATCGACTGGTCAGACGTGGCAGCTCCACTTCAATGTAGAAAAGTGTAGGGTTCTGCACATTGGAAGGGCCAGCGAAGGTCAGATGTACTCCATGGGTGATGCGCAGTTGAAGAATCCACCGTTGAGAAAGATCTTGGTGTCCTGGTCGATAGTGAGTTGAAGTTTCGGGAGCACGCTGCAGCTGCGGTGTCAAAGGCCACACGTGTTCTATCAGTGATTCGCAGATCTTTTGAATCCGTCGACGCAGAAACGCTCCCAGCCCTTTTCAAAACACTGGTCAGACCACACTTGGAGTATTGCTACTCTGTCTGGGGCCCATTCAGTCGAGCAGATCAACGAGTGGAGAGGGTACAACGAAGAGTTACCAAGTTGATACCAGCGATCAAGAACCTACCGTACACTGAGAGGCTCCGACGTCTAGGTCTGCCGTCACTCTACTACAGGAGGCGACGAGGAGATATGATCGCGATATACCAGCTGCTGCACGGTGGAGTCGACCGGGATCCGGAGCTGTTTAGCACGCCAGCTGCCGCTGGTCCCACCAGAGGCCACGCCTGGAAATTGAGGAAACCGAGGGCTGAAACAAGAACGAGAAGACTCGCTCTTGGAGTCAGGGTCGTAAACGACTGGAACGCCCTACCAGCATCGGTTGTTTCATCTCGCTCCTTGAATGCCTTCAAAGCCAAGCTCGACGCCCACTGGTCCCACCTCCAATACACCATTCACATCAATGATGTGACATAGTGTGGTATGATGACAATGAGGAAGTGACATAGTCAAGGAGCTCGATAAAATAAGAGTCAAAGGCCAAGTGGCCTTCTAAATCTCGTACATCGTAAGTGTAAGTGTAAAAATTAGTATTGCCTCCTAAATTACTTACTTATGAAGTAGGTACCTGGTGACCAGGTCTTATCCATACAGCTTCTTTATTGACCCTTAGGTAGTGGTCAAACATGTTAAGGTATTCTCATGACTACAGCCTGGGTGGATCCTGAATGTCTTACATTGTCATTTTCTGTACCTTGAACATTCACTGTCTGAGGTTTCCTTGGCTGAACTTGTACTGAATGTATGGGCCGACCTACTGCAGTGTACTGGCCCAATGTGCATCCTATTGGCTAAATTTGAGTTGTTTTTTGTCTTTCATGTGTCCTAGTGGATAAGGCATCAGTCTTTTACTTGATTGGAGGAAGTTTGCAGCCAGGAAAGTCAATGTCGTTTGAGCCACGTTTCTACAGTGTACTTTGAGTGTATATTCAGCCAGCTGACACCTAGCGAGAGGGGCCATGCTAGACCCAGGAGGACTGTGTTACCAATTACCTGCATTCGTCACACTTTTGATTAGAAATATCACTGGTGAACCGGGCACGGGCGAGGTCAGGTGGTGTGTCTGTAGTGTCATTTGCAACAAGCACGGCTTACGAGTAGCGTGGCACCCCGGGCCTAAAGCCCCCCCCCCTCATCCATTCACACTAAATTTCTTGATTTTTCTTTAAAACAAAAGCTGTAACTATTCATGCCAGAGATGAGGGAATTTCCTGAAGAAGAAAAAAACAGTCGTAACCCGGCATGCCTTGTCTCGAGACCTGGGGTTACCTATATAGCACCGGAACAGAGCTCTGTCTGGCCACTGACCAGCTGCTCAGCTGCTCTGTGGGCCGAGTTGGAGTGGCTGAATCATCAGCCGTGGTTTGGTTTCAGGTGGCATCACCTTGTCATGCTGATGAATATGGGAGATGACGGGAACGACGTCAAAAGAGTCGTGATCTCCGAGGACGACCTCATGTCCATCAACAAGGAGGCTCTGCTCAAGATATGGAAGAGGCAGGAGAAGTACATCACTTCACTGGAGCAAAAACATCTGGCAGAAGGTGGGCTATGATTTGGTGACTGCTTGTCCTCTCTAAATAGTGCAACTGTTTTAATTCTTGTTTATACTAAATAAATGTCAACTCGTCAGTCTTGGTACTGACTGAAAATCAATTGTCTCATTTTTTTTTAGTGCTTCTGTAGAAGCTTGATTACTTTGGCTCAAGAGAACTTCGAATAACATATGGCCAGTTTGATTGGATGTGAATTAAGTATATTTAAACTAGATAATTGTTCTCAATAACAATGTTAAAGCAGCTGCGTATACTTAAGAGCCGTTCTTAGGTAGCACACCTATAGGTATCCAACCTTATCCTAAGAAATATGAACATAAAATGGGAGTCGAAAATGGGAAATTAAAATGGGAGTGTGCTACTGAATATGATTATTATCTATTTCCATTGCAGTGAAAGATCTGGAGGCGAAACTGCAGACGGCCCTCCACGATAGTCAGAGGAAGGAGGACCTCATGGTGATGAGATTAAATGCCAAAGAGCAGGAGCTGCAGGACTACATGGTGAGTGCTCGTCTCGGACAGACCGGGCTGGCTGATTGATCAGAGTTGGCACGCCGTGGTCAAATTACACCGTGTCCTGAAATATTGCTCGACACTTGACACTTGGACAGTCGAGCATCATGTGCCGGCCTCCCAGCTGCTGTCATGAGTTCCCGACCTGGGCCGGTTTGTGCGGCATTGCAGGCGTGGCTGTCTGCGGCGCGTCAGCTGCCAATTATCCCAGTTGCCGCATCCGTCAGTGGCGCTATCAGCTGCCCTGTGCCGGGCGGGCGCGGCCACTGCGGGGTGCGGGCCACCCCTCAGGGACACAGACAGGGCGGCCACTGCCGCGCGCGGGGGGGGGGGATCCAGCGCCACATCAGCTAGACCCATCGTCCCTGTCGGGTTCCTCTCAGCTCCGCCGTTGGCCGCAAACGGCGTTCATTGAGTTATAATTCTCCCCGATCAGGGCAATACACATGACACTGTCAGCAGGTGCCCAGTGCAGCAGCACTTTCCATATTTCGGGGGGGGGGGGTGGAAATGGCCAACGGGCCAACGGGACGGGTGTGTGGCCAGTACACGGTACCTTTACAACATCAGTGAAATGTCAGCTCATTCACATGAAGCTTCGAAGCCTTGACATGCTTTATTTCAGGTTTTATTATGTCTTACGTGTGTGCCATTTTTATTCTAACGATTTTATCGGTGCCAGTTAGGTAACAGCCATAAGAAGAGTGACGGTTTTTAAGCTTTAGCGTTCATCTCATTCGTTGTCCGATTTGTGGTTGCAACGGACAAAATGCACTGAATTTTTAGGGTTTGATAATCGCAATTGCTCTTCTTAGAAAGGGCCTGGTGTTTTATTATAACCACTTTCCCCATTATTCGACGATCTTGTATTTTATTTGCCGACTAACTACTGTATATTATCGTTCACACATGCGTTGTTTGTTCGTTTCAGAACCAGATCAGCGAGATGAAGTCGTCCAGCGCCAACTCTGCCGTGCGGAACCTGCTTCTGGACCCGGCAGTGAACTTTATCATAGAGAAACTAAAACGGGAACTGTGTGACACCAAGGCCAAACTGGAGGAGACTCAGAGCGAACTGTCGGCATGGAAGTTCACCCCGGACAGGTGTGCTCTCTCGCCGCTATTCCCGCGCTCGGCTCCCCAAGATGTGCCTGCGCCCGCCCGCGCGAGCGACTGACATTTGCAGCCACGGGCCGGCGGCGCCGTGTCCGAGGCCGCGCCCCTCTGACTGGGGACGACCGCACACGGACGCTCGCGGGGCCCGCCAGAGCAGCTGCTGCATGACTGTGATAGGAACGTCCGGCCTAGCCGACTGAGTGTAGTAACGAGTCTTTCATTCGGTGATTCTGGAATGCGCCTAGGTTTGAATTATGCATTGTGTGTGGGGCACAGTCGGTTCATGTTAGTTTATGAGCTGTGGGTTCACCTGGGTAGACATGGCCTAAGGTGCCAATTGCTGTTTATATGGCCAATAATCCTCATCCGTTTAGGTTTGTTATCCTGCTGTGATTGTGGCATGCATACTGTACTAGTTATTCGTTTAAGTTTTGTTGACTTTGCTTTTGTGAATTCATTTTGTTATTCAACCAGTTTTCGCCTAATGTTTAGTTCGTTTCTTTTGCGGTATTAATTTTCAACTTAACTTCTTAAAAAAAAAACTAGTTTCTTCAACCAGCATTTTTGGAAGTAGTGAAACACACGTAAAGACGAACATCTTAGGGCTACAATGTTAAAAAAAACATTGCTTAACACGATGCTTGTTAAGAACCATTTACTGATCTTTTGTAGCTTATCTCGAGCTTAAGCATCGTAACTTCGCCCGTCAACTTCCCAGGGTATAAATGAGTCGCCTGAATATTCAAACGTCGACATTTCTGTCAGGGGTCTCTCAACAATATGTTTAATACCTGGTGTCAGCTGGTGACCGTCTACTTGTTTTGTCGCCTAGTGTCACAACTCGCCACCGATACTGTCAAACGTTTACAGCCGTTTGGGGCCTTCGCGCGTTATTTCTGTAAGCATGGGTATGCGTGTGGTGGCGTGAATGGCTGGTGGGCGACTGGATGAGTGAGTCTGAATGGTCTTCTTACGTCCTCTTGCCTGTCTGCTTCGATGGCGCCTATTTAACCGCAGCCACATTTACAGCCATTGCCACGAGTTGCCGCCAGAAAGCGCCCCGCCGGGGTAGATCTCCGAGCCTCAGTGGCTCCTGTGATAGCGCGAGAGCGGTGCACGGAGCGGATCCGCGCTCCGCCGCGGAGCCGGTGCTCAGAGACGCGCGCGGTGGCTCGCAGGCAGCGGTGTGCGCGCGCTGGCAGGTCCCGGTGCAGTGGCGAGATGCGCGCGAGGCGAGCGGCGTTGGTGGTGCGCTGGCGGCTTTTGTGGCGTACCAGAGGCGTTGGTGGCGCGCGAGGATCGCTTGTGTCGCGGGGCGCACGCAGTGCCGGGTAGCAGTGCTGTTTACCGGCAGCAGTGCCTGCTGGCCGACCGGAAGGTCAGCGGTGTCACGATCTATGCAGCCTCGCATTGCCTCTCCAAGTGACGGAGGTCCGTCTTCTGCCGGGGGACGTCAGCCGCCCGCCCAGCGTCTGCCAACTCCTTCACCTGCCCATTGCAGGCACCTGCGTGCATCCACCTGTGAGCGAATTTCGCCGCGGAGCCCATGGCGCCGTTGGACGGCGTCAGTGCCCCGAGAGGGTATCGAAAGTCGTGCTCGCGCGCTCGGGGACAGTGCTGGTCGGTGGTGCTCGCGGCGGAGCGTGCGGTGGTGCGTTGGTGCTGGCTCGGTGGTGCGGTGTGCGCGGTGCTCGGCTGATCGCGTGGTGCGCCGTCGGCGGCCGGTGGGCGGGGTGTGCGGCCGGCTAGCAGGTCGGAGAGCGCGCGGCCGGCTGGCAGGTCAGAGATCGTGCGGCCGGCTGGCTGGTCGGAGAGCGCGCGGCCGGTGCGTGCATGAGATGGCAGCGCAGCGGTCGGCGGAGTGTCCGCGGTTCTTCAGCGTCCCGAGTCGCGGCGAGCGCCGGCAGGGCAGTGCTCCTGAAACGCAGTGCTCCTGAAAGGCGAGTTATGCCTTGCGCCAGCTTTTGCCGAGTTCATTTGTGGAAAGTGGCGGTCATCCCACATCAACAGCAGCAGCTACTGAGAGATCGACAGCAGCGGCGGCGTCCCCCTGGGCCTCAGCGCCCCAGCCTGACATGGCCACACGGCGGGCCTCCGTTCGTAATGCTAAGTGTGCTCTGAGAGTGGCGGCGCGGCCCGGTCGGCCGGCCGGCCGCCGGTTGACGTTGCCCCGCCCCGGGCAGGCTGGTGAGTAGCCGCCGCTGATGGCGCCCGGCCTCACCCGCGTCTTTGTGTTGCACACTCTGAGCTGCCGCCTCACACACATAGCTGCTGCCGCTGGCGCCGGTCACCTGTGTGTGCCGTGTTTTCAGAGGGGTGCGGGCCGTAGCGCAGCCGCAGGGAGCGGGTCACTGTCCGTGTGTGACTGTGTGGGTCAGTGGCGCCCGGTGTAACCCCCCGTGCGGTGCGCGCGTGTCGCCGCGGCCGGCCTCTGACGCCGGCCCACCCCGCTGCGTTACAGCCAAACGGGCAAGCGTCTGATGGCCAAGTGTCGGCTGCTGCACCAGGAGAACGAGGAGCTCGGCAAGGTGGTGGCCTCTGGCAAGCTGGCCAAGCTGGAGACGGACCTGGCGCTGCAGCGCAACCTCACCGAGGAGATGAAAAAGGCCCAGTCAGGTGAGCACGCCGCCAGGAGACCGTGCCCGTATGGTGGCTCTGTGCATAGACCCCTTTTAAAGGAGTCTATGCTCTGTGCCATAACCCGTATGATTGCTCTCCTCAGCTGTCGTGTTGCTCTGCATTTGCTATGGTACATTTGCTCACTTCGTGAGTTCCAGAATATGCTTCTGGTTATCGTCATCCGGCAGTCTGCAGAATCTGGTATTCATATAGTAGCTTATCTGTCATCCAAGGACGGGCACGGTGTCTCTGTGGCGTCCATGCTGATTTAGCTACTTTCAACTGGCCACACCACAGGATCGGTTTGACTTATTCAGGACTTACAGCGTCATGATGGGAGAGTTCGTTTGACCTATTAAAGGGATCTGTATACGATTTATAGGAATGTTTGTTTTCCCGCTTTTTGGTGTAGTCTTTAAATTATGTCCAACTAAACTGATATTCTTTCTAGCATTGTTTACTTATAATCAGTACGTTACCAATTTACCTACCTGATAACTCTAGGATAGAAAGTAATTATGTGTGACCGTGTGCCATGACGCATATGTAGAAATTGGTGAGCTGGTTTGCAGATTACGATGTGCCATCTCCAGTGCCGGGTGTGACCCTGTTCTGACCGAGCCGCCGTGTACCGGCAAAGATAAATGAGTCCTCTCCCCGTGTGGTCCTGTTCTGACTGCCCAGAGTGTACCGATGTGGCTCTGTTCTGACTGCGCCGCCGTGTGCCGGCAGAGATGGACGAGCTCGTCCAAGAGCTGGACGAGGACATGGAGGGCATGCAGAGCACCATCCTGCACCTGCAGCAGCAGCTGCGCGAGGCCAAGGCGCAGGCGGCGGCCGCGCCCAGCGCCAACGGTGTGTCCGCCCAGCCGGCCGACGACGCCAGCGCCAGCGCGCTCAACGGCCACGCCGAGCCCGAGGCGGAGCCGGACGGCGAGCAGCCGGAGCCGGAGCCGGAGCCGGTGAAGGAGCCGGCGGCTGAGCCGGAGCCCAGGACGGCAGTGACGGCGGGCGGCTCGCCGCCGGAGCCGGCGCCGCCGCCCGACAAACCGGAGCCGCCGGCGGCCGCCGAGCCGGAGCCCGCCGACCGGACGAGCCCAGAGCCGACCGGGCGGCGCCGCCGGCGGCGGGCCGAGCAGCCCGAGACGGGCGCCAGCCCCGAGCCGGGCAGGACTAAGCGGCGCGCCGCCGCCGCCGCCGAGGACTCGCCCGGCCGGCGCGCCAAGCGGACTCGCTCCTCGGATGATGGCGGCGCGCCGGCGGCGTCGGCCGACTAGCGGCGCCAGTGTCCCCCCCCCCCTCCCCCGAGCGGCGAGGGCGCCGCCACTACACCGCTCCCCATGCCCGCGACGCATCATCGTATTATCTTACGTTTTCTATGAGCCGTGTTATATTTGTGATGTTAAGTTCAGTCTGTCTGCTCGGAAAGCAATTTCTAACGGTCATCCGCGCGCGCATGTCCATTTTATCCCGTCCCGGGCCTGTGCTATTCCACGTCAGATCGTGGAAGTGATCGTGGTTTTAACGGATGACCATGTTATGTGTACAAACTCGAATACATAAGTATTGTGATGCCGAACTTGTCACGACTGCCCATGTGGTTTCAAACCCAGCATATGGTTAGCATCCTAGGTCATTTCAGGGGAGGAAGCTAGGGATGAACTGCGCTCGTATGTTTGCCATTACGGTTTTATATCGGTTGCTCGGTGTCCTTGGGATGATCCTGGCAGAACCCTTGAGATGAGCAATCGCACTTTTCCTTAGTTCACAAGATGTGCCGGTGTTTGGTCATGATCTTCGCAATTAGGAATTCGTGAATTCATGTGTGCGCAGACATGCTTCAAGATAACGCTAGCCTTCGCTTTCAGAGGTCGATTTCTCGCAATTTTGACGACTGAAATCCCGAATTTTTAGCAAGGCTGACCCTCTCCGCCTCGTCTGACCTCGGCCATCATCGTGTCCGTCTATCTATCAGCAGATTGGCGGATATGCCATCATCTAGTGTATCTAACCGGAGCGTAGTGATAGCTGGAGATCAATAAGTCGGATGGCGAGCAATCAGTTCTTTTTTCTATGAAGGGGGAGTGCCTCGCTTTATTGGTTGGTGTTTTTTCTATGAAGGGGGAGTGCCTCGCATTATTGGTAAAGTAATCTTGCCTCGCTCAAGAGCAATCCCGGCTGCCATGGTACACTAGCGCCACCTACATTTTAACATCACCACCCATCACATCCCGGACGAGACCCTCAGAGCAGAGGTCGTACGTGGTCCGACCACCCCGAGGTCTGCTGGCCGCTCTCAGTCACCCACTCATCGATCATAATTCAGAGGCTTTAACTGTTATTCGGTCCCCTACGAATTGCTGAAATGCCTAGCAACACACCCGACAGCGCTTTCATCGTGATTCGTGTAGTCAGCAGCACTAGTCGACCGCTCCCGGACCATTCTGGGCAGAGGCCCGTTCAGCACAATATCGTCCATCTCACCAAGCATATCGCACCGCACACCAGGGCCCTGTTTCACCGGTGATAGCAGCACGCTACTATCAAATTGCGCGAGCTGACGTAATGTGATGACGTCACACTAATGACGTTTCGTGTAATCCGTGAGCTTTTTCATAGCTACGTTTGGAACAGAGTTGCTGTCTCGTTGAATGCGTTTGATACATTCGCACGGCCGTGAAGATGCTAGCAGCAATAATTGATGACATCACACAGATTGACGACGGCATAGTTTGTTGATGTTTCCATGGAAACCCAATTTGACACGTGTGATAGCAGCGTGCTGCTATCACCGGTGAAACAGGGCCCCTATCGCTAGCAGTGTACCTACCGACCGATCTGAAGCCATGTAGGTCTGCGCTATTCGAAACAGGTTCCAATGGACGAGACTGAGAGGCACTTCACCGAGGTGTGCGGAAAGTCCAGGAGTGCTCGCAGTAAAACAGATGACCGTAACAGGGCTGGGTTTTTAAGTGATACAGTATTGCTTTCACGCACGTCTTCTGCCCTGCAGCTTAGCACGCGGCCTCGCCAGTCTGTACAGCGGCGGGGTAAGTAATGCTGTGTTGAAAGGGCTTTCAATAGGTCAGCAACCTTACTGCCGTGTGCACTGTGATGAACCCTGTAACCTCGCCACGAGTCACCAGCCGGCTACGCGAACAACGACCGCGACTCCTTCCACTACATCAGGCCGCACTCTGTCCGTTTCCGCGCAGACAGCCCACCGATCCCTCCCGCCTCTCTCCCCATTCAAAAGCCGGCGTGCGTCACTGCGTCCGTGTATTTACTGTCCCTCGGGCATGGAGCGGATGATGTCGGAGTCGCCCGGGTCCGTGATGGCCATGCCGCACACGCGGAAGTACTTGCCGCAGGCGGTGCCCAGCTCGATGTTGTTGCCATTGTAGTGGTGCACGCCCGTCTTGGCCAGCATTGCGTAGTACTCGATCTCAGATTTCCTGCGAAATCCAGCGCAGAGTGAATAATGAACAAATAACTAGCAGTCAGGGACACCCCTATGCCCTGAAATACCTGTGCATAAAATTATTAAAAAATCGATTAACTTGAAATTTGATGGCACTATATGCCTATTAAGACATGAAATAATTACTATTATTGGTACAATTATTATTGTTAGTATTATTACTATTATTATTACTAGTAGTAGTAGTAGTAGTAGTTTAATTATTATCAATTACTGACTAAGCAAAATCCATTTGTGAATTCTATTTCTTAAAAAAATGGGTACCATTCCTACAATGACAAAAGCCATACTGATTCTCTTATAATTCTAAATTTGCTAATTGAAATAGGTAGCCTTGCAAGATACAGTATGGCTTTTGCGTGTTGTTTGAGACTTCTCCATAGACGTTCAGACCCATGGCATGGGCTGAAGGTCTACTTCTCAGTCTCACCTAAGGGCAGGGGTGTTGCTGGCAATGATAACAAGCTTAGCTTTGCCCAGGCGAAGCTGCTTCAGCGTCTGCTTGTAGCCAAAGCAGTATTTGCCAGACTTCATCACCAGGGCCAGTCTGGAGTTGATGGACTCCAGGGCCTTCTTCTGCAATATACAACACAGAGGGGAGTCAGGTCACATCATTATGTGGGCATTCAAACTTCCACGGAAACACCAGGCTCCTCTGAGGGAATGCAATGAAATGTCTCATTTTATGTCGACAATTAGGGACTGGAGACTTTGGCAGAGTACCTACTAATCACCATGCACCATACCATGCAGTTAAAATTAAAAGGTCAAAAGATGAGAGATCAGACATACCTGCTTCTTCTGGGCCACCATGGTTGCAGCTATGTATCTGAAAAAGAAGAAATGGTAGTTCAACCATCAAGCATTTTGATTCATCTTACAAACGAGTTTCAATCTGAATGTACACTTCACTGTGTGTAACTAAGGAATTTGGATGATAATAACTGTAGATGTTGCTTCATTTTAAATTGCTTCTTTATTCAGGCTTAACCTTCTCCAGACCTATTAGTTTCTACATCAGAACCAGCCGATGGGGGAAGGGGGCTATACGACCCCCGTTTTGCCTGATGGAGTTGAGGGCCTTGTGGAAAAAATGACTGTTTAGACCATTACGAAATGCAGCAACTGGTTCACGATATTACAGTCTCAGGTCAACTGTTGACCTCCAGTCAGGTCAAGTGGCCAAAGGCAAGGATCAACAGCCTAAAAAAAAAATGCCACAGGGCGATGTTGGCACCATTACATTCCCCTGGTTCAGGCGCATCAAATGATATACCAGTCGGGGAAACTATGGTAAAATCTGCTATTTTTAGCAGTCTGCTATTTTTAACAGAAATCTGCCAAAAATGGGTACGCATGTAACGTCATCGTACCCAAATATAGCAGATTTGGGTACGGCCCCATACAAAAGCAGATCTGCACCCTAATTGAAGCAAATGCGCATCAAATGCCTGGCAGATTCATAATTAGAATAGTGCTGAGAATGTCCTCTGATATTTTTGTTCAGATCTGACTATTTTCAAATAATGAATTTGAAAATAGTCGGATCTGAACAACAATAGCAGAGATCACTCTCAGCACTATTCTCATCATGAATCTGCCAGGCATTTGATGCACATTTGCTTCAATTAGGGTGTAGATCTGCTTTTGTATGGGGCCGTACCCAAATCTGCTATATTTGGGTACGATGTCACATGCGTACCCTTTTTTGGCAGATTTCTGTCAAAAATAGCAGACTGCTAAAAATAGCAGATTTTGCCATAGTTTCCCCGACTGATACTTTTTGTTTGAGTGAGGGCAACCTAAGGTCTTCACCACAGGCTGCGTATTGCTGGCCACCAGAATATTGTGCTGGACTGTTCAACAAAACACTGCCGCCCAAGGTCTGTGACGTCACCAAACATGCGGTGTCACACCCGATAGAATATTCTGCTGAGCCTGAAGTAGGCCTCAGCCCACACAAACTACAGCCATGAAGCTTCATGAAGGGCAATAGCCTAGAGAAAATAAGCAATTAAGAGGCACTGCACGAATGGAATAAAGTTGAAGAAAAGCTCTTAATTTGCAAAATGAATGGAACAAAAGCGTAAATCCAAAAATGGCAATACGAGGAACAGAAATACAACCTACCACGATCGGATCACAAGCCGGAAAGAAAGACGTAGAGATGATCATGATTACTAAAACAACAAATTATGCTGTTTTTGTTTTGATACTGATCTGCTAAAATACGTTCATTTTACACTTTAAAAACACTTAAAGCAATTTGAAGCAAAATTTTGAGTATATTTGATAGACTTTGCAACCGAGTGAAACGTCATCACTATTACTTGTACTTTTACGCACTGCTGCTAGATGACGCTAGCAGCATTGACGCCAGCTATTCTGTTATAGATGTCGCCTGAATGCGCTTCGATCCACCTCCACTCCCCCTGTCCCATACTACCGAACACGGACTTTATTTAGGGCCTTGCTCGAGACGCACAAATCCTTCCTAATTCCTTCACGCCAGCATCGATCGATCCCGCTGCAGATCTTTCATCGCCAAGCCCAATACGGTCGCCCTCATCCGACGTGGGTTTGCTCCTCAGGGGCAGGAGAGTTCTATAGCCTTGACTCTTGAGGGGCAGGCTTGCACCTGACGCCAGCGGACTGGGTCACGGGTGGCCAGTCCATCGTGACGGGCCCAGCCCCGGCGACGCATCAGCGGGGCCGCCCAGACCAATGTGTGCCCCCAAATCCTAAATGTTCATGATAACAGCGGGTAATCACGTTTCAAGATAATAACATAACTGGTCGTTATTGTAGGTAGGTATCCGTATAGGTACCTACCTAAGTATTCCTAAAAGACCGAATGCCTACCTGCACCGATTGGTATAAGAACATACAAGCACATTGCACATGGGGCATTCAAGAGACAAAACTTATAATAGGTATACTTATAACTTTTGACACCGTCAGGGCTGTCGATCAAGAGCTGACATTTTGCCGGACAATAAACGACAAGCATATCGCCAGCGAACAGGCAAGTGTAGGAACACTGCCGGTATAACCAGAGTTCCGCAGAGTGCAGAACAAGAACAACATAACACGATAGCTGCAATCGTCAAACACTGAAAGGGTGACTGGTGAGGGTGCCGCCCAGCCGACGTCAGGCTCGCCGCGCAACTGGCTGCTGTCCCACCGGTCCCTCAGAGCCGCCGCTCACTGCTCCATGAGTGTGAAGTTGTCCCATGTCGGCCAGCTACCGGCGTCGCCCTCGCTCGGGTCGCCGGCGTCACCCATGAACTGCAGCATGACGATGATGTAGGTGATGATGGCCGACCAGATGCTGAGCAGGGTGGCGCGCTGCAGCCGGTACAGGCCCAGGTCGGCGGCCACCTCCCGGTCGGCGGTCAGCGCGCGCTGCAGCCGCTCCAGGCGCGGCGCCAGCTCCGGTCGGAGATCCTCCAGCCGGAGCAGCAGGTCGCGGCAGCGCGCCAGGCCCGCCAGTAGCCGCTCGCCGGCCTCGCACGGGCCGACCAGCGCTACCAGAGCCGCCCACGAGTAGGAGGCCAGCATCAGCCACGAGAGCGGGTCGGCGCCGAGCATGAACATGTCCCTGGCGGCCACCACCATCTGGATTTGGGTCAGCACGCCAAGCAGCATGACGGGCGGCAGCTCGGCAGCGGCGGCCGACGCCAGCAGCGCCTGGCACGCGGAGAGGCGGCGCTGCAGGCCGGCCGCGCGCAGCAGCCGCCGCACCGAGTCGGCGCCCTCCCGACGGGCCACGGCCGCCGCCAGCGTGGCGTTCAGCGCCGCCTGGCCACTCTCCAGCAGACTGGCCGCCAGCAGGAACTTCACCGAGACCAGGTGGAGGCTGCAGTAGACGACCGTCACCAGGATCAGCAGCGCCGCCTGGTACAGGGAGCCCGGCCCGGAGCGGCTGAAAGTGTCCACGTACAGTGAGATATTGGAAAGTATTGATACAAGGGGAGCCATGATCACGACGATCCAAACGTACCAGACGGACGGCGGAGGGCCGGGCTCGTTTTTGTTGCGGAGCTCGGCGGCGTCCTGCAGCAGCGGCAGCAGCTGAGTCAGCAGGGCGGCGTACCGGCGGCGGCCGCTGACGAACACGGCCGTCAGCGCCGCCCACAGGATCACCATGCCCACGCCGAAGTAGCTGGTGAGGACGCACGCCCTGATCCAGTGGAGGCCGGCCTCCAGCAGCAGCCAGCCGTGCTGGAGGTCGGCCAGCGCGGCCAGCGCGCACACGGCCGAGGCGGCGGCGTACAGGAGGGCGGTGTAGAGCAGCGGCCGCCAGCCGGCGCCGCCCCACAGACCGGCCAGACGCAGCAGGCCGAGCAGCAGGCGCGCCGAGCGGCCGACCGCGTCCGCGCCGTCCGGCCTAGTCGAGCGCCAGGCCGGCTCGGTCGGCAGATGGGCGGCCTGGTCAGTCGGCAGCCACTCGGAGGGGTCGGCGGCCGACAGACCAGCAGAGACGCTGGCTACGGGCCGGCCGCGGACAGAGTCGGGCGAGCGCATCTCAGAGGATAGAGGAAGAGCAACAGATAGCGTGGGTAACTGACACGGCGGGGACAAGCAGACGGAGCGGAGGGCACTCAGGAGGGCGACGGCTTACACAGTAGTGACCGGATGAACCCACCACCGGCCCTATATACCACCACGGACGCATCTACAGGTGGGTAATCATCTTTTGCGCAATTTGATGGATAAGTTCACCCGGTCGCGTCATTCAAACGTACACCAAAACTGCCGTGAGTGGATATGAGCGCGTCCGCACGCCTGTCTGACGCGGGCACGAACGCCCGGATCAGCACTTGAACGGACGGGGGGCACGTGATCGTACAGAACTCATAATTGGCATCGGAGCTATCAGTCATGGCCGTGCAAACACCGCGAGCAAATGTCTCCGGCTGATGAATGCTGCCGCCATCGACCAGGGAAGGACGAAAAGAAACGACCAAAGCGTGCACCCTACAGCCCTATATGGTGCATGTAATGAGAAAGTGGGAGCTGGCTAGGCCGATAAATCCAATTTTGTTGGATCACAAAATACACAAGCCCGATGAAGATGAATGGCACATAGGTGTAATTGCATGGGCAGAACTGGGGGAGGGGGTGGGGGGGGGGGGGGCAGTACAAACAAATAACGAATATACACCGTATCGGTTGTGTCACACCGGTGGTACCGGTACCGGTACTCCAGTACTCAACGTCTGGGGACGGACCGGTGCCGTGTGCCGTTCCACTACACACTGCGAAGGACTGAATGACATCATGCACAGGTGCTCTGTTGAATGTTAGAACAAGAATAGAACAAGAATGTTTCCGTCGTAGTTAATTTGTTTACTATTCTGGTGTGTGGTGCTTACGTGGATAGATCACCAACGTTGCCAGCTAAACGTAAAATATTTACTGGAAGCTAACGGTTAAACGCATGTGCTTGCCGGGAATGTGGCCGTTCATGCACTCCATGATTACTTGCGTAGCAGCTTTCAAAGTCCAGTGCCTTGGCTAATATTCACCGTACGCCGAACATTACGGCACATTGAGCCAATGCACTGAAATGATAAATGATTGCCAGATGACGGCAAACGGTAATCTACATACTGGCCACTGGGTCTGGTGAAAGCCGAGGAATTTATCGTCCTGAAAGCTGCCTTCCCAGGCTCGCCGTCCGTTTCTTATTCAATGAATGTACCGATAGATTCAGTGACGATAACCTATGTATATTCGCGAGCCGCGACTACGTAATACCTAGGTTTGTAACACATTTGAATCGCGCTGAATGAACGTAGCGCTTACCCAAACCGATTAAGAACATGCCAATAATTTAAAACGTCAATGTTTATTACAACATTTCATGATTCAATAATCAATGGTGTAATCAAACTCGAGATATGCCTTAGAAAAGCAGCGGCGAAACTTCGTTAAATATACCCCGTAACGCCGCTCCTAGAATCACCGCCCACAGTTTGCCGCCGCCCGGCTCACGCGTCTCTCAGTTTTGCCGGCAGCAGCAGCGGCGGCGGGTTCCCGCAGCTGACGCCGGGCGGCGGTCAGTCGGCGGCGGCCGCCTCGGCCCGCTCGGCGGCGGCGGCGCCGGCGGCCAGCAGGGCGTGGTCGCCGTCCCAGCGCGGCGGCACGGCCAGCAGCAGGTGGTTCTTCTCGCTGCAGTCGGCCGGCTCGGCCACCGTCAGCAGCACGCGGTAACCGGCCTCGCGCAGGTGCGCCGCCCGGTCAGAGTCCACCAGCGCCATGCAGCGGCGGCCCTGGCGCGACTTCTCCGAGCCGTCCGCGTGCGTCTGGTCGGCCGCGTGGCCCAGCACGAGCCAGTCGCGCGGCGCCGCGCCCGTGCGACGGCCGGCCGCGCTGCGCGGGTAGCGCACAGAGCCAAAGTCGTGCACGGCGCCGTAACAGCAGGGGCAGCAGACGAGCGCGGCGCCGGCGGCCAGACACCGCTCGGCCACCAGGTCGGTGGCCACGCCGCACGCGTGCAGCGCCACGCCCAGCTGGAACTGGCCCCGGTAAAACTCCATGTTGCACTGATAGAGGCTGACGTTGGTCAGGTTGAGGGCCGCCGCGCGGTCCTGTCCGCGGCGCAGCGATTCCTCCTTGTTCTCGACCAGCACCACGTGACAGTCTGGCCGCAGGACCGCCAGCAGCAGGCCCAGGTGGCCGCCGCCGCAGCAGAAGTCGACGATGGTGTCGCCGGGCCGTGCGGCGCGCACCGCCAGCCAGGTCAGGTTCTCGAGCTGGTGCTGTTTGCGGGCCAGCCGGCTGGCGGGCAGACCGCCCTCTGCCGGGCTGGCGGCGGCCGGCAGCGCGCTCCAGTCGAGGCGCAGCTGGCCGCTGCCCGGGTGCGCCGCCACGCGGCTGACGAAGCGCGCCGCCTCCAGCCGCTCCAGGGCGGCAGCCACCTCCGACTGTACGGTGAACAGCCGACTCTTGGGCTTGTAGCGCGCCGGGTCCTTTTTGTAGAGGCTCTGCGGCGCTACCTCCGGCAGGCTGAGCGCCAGACGGGGTCCCGGCTGGCTCGGCTGCTCCGGCGGGAAGCACGCCTCCCACGTCTCCGCCAGACCCGGGACGGCCTCCACGGCTGCCATCCACTGACTGACGGCCGGCGCGGCCTCGGACAGCCGCAGCCCGTGCGGTCGCAGCGCCTCCGTCAGCAGGCGCAGACACGGGTACAGCAGCA